TAATTGTATCTCCAGTTTTTTTATTAAGTGGAATACATTCACTAAAATACAAGAAGCTTACATTATTTAGTGATATAAAATCGTATCTCTATACCTAACTACTAGCTTTTGATGTAGAACGTTTAGAGAAAATAGTGTTTTCATTTTTTAAGCAGTTGAAAAGTCGTATGTACAACTTTAGGTCTCATTTGCTCCAGATCTATAAGATTGGAGATAAGATTTTTTACCTCTATGGTACAGATACAATATCTTCTGTACTTTTATAAACATGAGATTTTAATTGAGAAATTCTTCAATGTTATAGGAAGCATTTTCTACCAAATAGGTGTAAGTAAGGTTCAAAATACTGAAAGCCTTGTTATACAGTATGTTGTACAACTTATCCGACAAATTTCAACCACATATACAGTGTTACATAAGATGTCGATTACAAAAAAAAAATGTAATAAAAGTCCAACAGAAAACGAGATAAAAAATAAAATTTATAGGTAACACTTTTTTTCTACAAATTCTTTCGTTTTGCTTAGGTTTTTACTATATTTATTTTGTTATTTTACACCTTATTTTTATATCTCGTTTTTTGTTAGACTTTTATTAAATTTTTTGTGTAATGACCTCTTTATGTAACACTGTATATGTGGTTAAAATTTGTTAGATAAGTTGTAAAACACCCTGTTTAGTAGAATACTTATATAACTGGATGAATTTTGAGTAAGGCTGGTATAAATTTAGACAATTTCTTGTATCATAGTTATGTACGTTACAATTGTGTCTAATATTTTATTTTGAATAAAAAAATATTTACAATGAGCTTCTAGTTTCAAATGAAACTTTGCAGCCATAAAAACTTATTAAAAATAGGGGATCTCGCTTTGTAGTGCAACTAGGTAATTGATTTACACCTGACATCATGTACAAGCAACACCAGCAAGCTTTTAAATAAAGCACTAGTGTGTATTTTATGTATTTATTAAAATACGTCAACTACAATTTTTAGCATGAAGCATCAACCATGGATATAACCTCTAACTACTGACAGATGACTGTCGCTATGGCTAATTTTACGTTACAGTACTTATAAACCTATTATACATTTATCATGTGGGCAATAATTTTATTAATGAAACTCCCTATATATAGTTAGTAATGGTTAACAGATTCCTGTTCTGGTATGAACAGACCCATAACCGTAAATTTAAATTTTAATTGAATTTCCCTCGTATTTATCAAACTTATAAATGGCGGTTTAAAAGCCCATCCCTAATATAGAAGTATGTCAATCAGGTACTTCTCTCTATCTCTTATAAAAGACCAAATTCCTAGTAAGTATAATTACCTATTACTTATCGACCATCGCATTTCTCTCTAGGTACATTCATTCCCACAAACTAAAGTTGGAGTTAAACTAGCAATGGCGACATTTAACCTCTAAGATCTCTCCAATTTTGCGCCTGTCATACTTCTGTTATAAATTAAAACCTCTGTATGTTTCTGAGAAACGACGTTTTTTTGTAGTTAGAGTACCGCCCGATCGGTATCTTAATGACTTCATGCACATGTGCGAGATTGAAGCCGTGCTTGGCCACGCCCAACGCTGGTCACGGTTCAACACTCACAGTTAATAATCTTTACGAATAAAAATATTGAAGTTATACTAACAACCAGCGGGTAACAAATACAAAATTTTATTTTTATGCCAGGTAGGTACATATAATATTCATAAATTACCTATATTAACACTTTCACTGCCCACCGTGCGGCTACCGCGGTTGCTAAACAAATCCATGTGCCCACAACGCGATAAAATAATAATTTCGCAAAAAGTGTTGTATATTTTTATAGCTAGGTACCCACAACGCGTTTACCGGGTTTTATTTTTGTTTACCAGTTAATCAAATTCTACAGAAGTAAACCTATTTTTATACGAACAGTAAATAAGTTAAATTACATCTCCATTTTTAAAAACAAAAGTACATTGGGATCGACCTATGCGCAGGCGTAAAGAGCCGAGCCGTGAAAGTGTTAAGTATCAATTCTGAGCCTTTGTCAAATTTATATCATCTTTATTTAAAGCTTGTATTCTTGGCTCTAGCACAAAATGAAATGTCAACTTCTCTTAATTTTAGGGCTGCTTTTCTTTGGAAGCTGAACTAAAAAAAGTTTTTTAATAGATACGTCAGTAACTCTTGTAACCCACCTTGTATAAATATTAAAAAGAAAGACAACATTAAAAAAATAACATCATAGTTCATTACTCAATCCATAGTTTGCATTACCTTAATAAAATAAAAGTCATATTTCAATCACATAAAAAACAATACAAAAGTTATTTGAAGAATTGACTCATCACCAGTACACATGAAACTTTAAACTCCTAAATGCGCATAGCAACAAAAACCGTTAGAACAATAGGTTTCTCTCTAAATAATTTAAACCATATCTCTCTCTTTCTCTATCACTCTCTGCATGTATATTTCCGTTACTCTCATTAAATGAATTAGCAAGCAAAATCGTTATCTCTCCCACCAAGATCATATGAGGTTCTATCGGCCAATAGAAATTTAGCACCAACACTCACTTAACAATCGTCGAGTGCAAAGAATGCAATAGAATCATTTTTGGCGCTGAGCAGTACACTTTAATTTTCAATTTCTTTCTTGTGACACAGTAAAATGTTATGAGCCAACATTCATTCACAAAATAATAACAAAACTAGTAGATTAAGTACAGTGTTCACAAATGTTATATTTTATGTTAGATTTTATAAGATTTAAATAAACAAGTTAAAGGAAGATACATTTCAAATCCAGAAGTTATTTACTACACGAAACGCACATAGTCCATTACAGTTATTTCAGGAAGGAAACCTGGAAAGTAAGTGCAGAAAATCCACAAACTCGCAACACTAATGTAATATTATTATAAAAATAACAGGAGTTGAGCCAACCACTCCCGCCATACATATACGAAATATCCGAAATTACATTGAAAATCACCACAGTCATATCAAAATCAATGGCAATCGCTAAATAATCAATCAGAATTGTTCCGAATTCGCACGGAGTCTCCCGAATTTTCCCGAAGTCTCTGAGAAATCACTGACAATCGTTAAAAATCAGTCAGTTGACATATAACCTACTCGTTATTGTCGATATTGATACTTTGAATAGGCGATTTCATCCATTTTGTGTTAAACAATTGAACAAAAATCAAACTATATTTAATTAAGGGTAATAGGGTAAAACTAAAATTCTCCTGTGGAGGTGAGGACAGAACGTCTACCTTCCATGCGAAAGGCCCGGGTTCAAATCTGGGCTAGGGACTAATTAAATATTTTTTTTCATGTTTATTTTATTTCATAAGTTACTCAAATTCATAAATTATTTTATTAGATATTTTATCCTAATAAACTAAAATAATTTTTGAAATTTATAGATTTTGTTAAAATATTGCACCGTTATGCACTCCTGATGCACTCATATGAACTCCTGATGCACTCATATTAAACCTTTTAAGAGGTAATTTTTTGTTGGTCGTATACTAATAAAATTTAAATCAATGATCAATGCATTTAATCTATCAACAAAAATAAAATTCATTCAATAAATCAATTTCCACAACGTTTTCTTCTCGGTTTTCTCCATGTCGTATATAAAATTTAGTTTTCCTGATATGAAGCACTGATCTGTATTATATGAAGCCCTGAAAATCAATTGTTTTTTACTGTAAATCATGAAATAGGGTAGAAATAAGATAAAAAATATTCCATCGCCCCTGTTAGCGTGCCACTGGAGGAAACATTTTATAAAATATATTTTTTGCAGAAACATGCTGTTTTTAACCATGGATTCATGTTCTTCATCGTCTTTTATATTAAATGAAATTCAAATTTCAACAACTTTGTATTCTTCTTTTTTGTATGCTGTCAAATATTAAGAATTAATTATATAACATTTCTTTAGGATACATGTAGGTTAAGTTAAAGGTTAATTATTTAAAGATAAAAATAATATGTTGTTATGTTATTTAAATTTTCTTTCGCGGTCCATCTGTAGTGCATTAATATTTATGAAATAAAAAATCCCAGAATAGGTGACGAAATTAGAAGCGACTTTGAATTATTATCTTTTAATTATTTAGATTTATATATAAATCTTATCTTGAGAAAGATACCTCAACTTTCCACCTACAAAAAGATCTTCGCCGTACAAGGATTCTGATTATTTTGAGATATGTTAAATGCCACTAGAGCCCATATTTAGAAAAACTGGATAAAATGTACCGTATTAAAGATATAAATAATTTATATGTATAAGTGTTGCAAGGTGTATAACGAGTTATACGTATGACCATTTTAGTTCAAAATAGCTGTGTGAACGTTGTGTTACTGATAAAGAAGAAATAATAAATCTATTTGAAAATTAATAGTAGCACAAATTTATGAATATATATAACGAGAAAATTTTCAATTCCTAATAAGGGTAATATACTTCTACACTTTGATAATTAATACCGTGAAAACAAGGCAGTTTTTAAGAAATTTGTGTACTTAATAACATTTTTTTTAAATAGATTCCATTTTAAAACTATAAAATATTTATATATGTTAGTGTAGTTATTAATATTATTTGTAAGGAAACTAAAGAATATTATTTCTAAAGAACTTCTGACTTTAAAGTTGCCATCTAAATATCACTACAAGTAAAGCCAAAACAAAGCCGTCAATGCTCTGAAATACCTTTTACCTATCGTCAATGGGATCAACTTCGAGAGCCACTACCTGATGCTACCTTTCATTACTACCATGAAATTCCATTAAAACCCCATCCATCAATCTTAAAACGTCGACCATATGGTTAGACCCGAAACGAAATCGATTTGATGGACTTTTAAGAATTTGAAATATTTTGTTAATTATCAAGTTTTAAATTATCTTGTAGTATTTATCAGTGATTTAATATATATTTTCTGGTAATTAATTTGATAAATTTTCTTTTCAGATCACTCAAATAAAAATACAATTGACTATAAGTCCTCCAATTCGCCACCGTGTAGTAGTCCTTCCAAAGATATCAAAAATTCAGACAGGTGCGGGAGTTTGCCATATGGAGCACATACGGTAAGTAATTTGTTTATTAATTAGAAGGTAAACATATTGTTTTCCTCTCAACTTATGTTTATCGTGCTTTTTTTAAAACGTCTGAAACGTAAAGTTTTCACCAAACACTTTGTTCCAAAACATTAGTATTATTGTTATACTCAACCGTATATACATTTATGTAATACTGGTTGCATAATAGTAGATTTGGAAAGGCATAACCACCCCTACAATGATTCAGGCACATACTTTGATTTAAAGTATGTGGATTCAGGTGCAATAGCCAATTAAGTGTAATAATTTAAATATTGCGCCTAATAAAGTAAGAGGGGAACTTCCTTTTTTTTGTTAGAGCCGGAAGTTATAAAAAAGGGTGAAATTAAGTATTGTAATGTAATCGTTGGAGGTGAGTGGACGTCCATGAGACACACTTCTGCTAATTTAGATCGGTTTCCTCAATTCACTGCCTCAACAAACTCTAAATGATAAACGTTATTGATAATTGTGATATACAACGATCGAAAGGTATTTTATTGTAAAATAAATACAGTAAATAATAAAGTTGCAAATTGATTTAACTAAAACGTCCTCCCCTGACTAGAGTGTTGGAGTTGTTGATTGGAGAAATCAACGAGAAGGGCCCAACACACTTTTTAACATGGTATAAAAAAGAAAAGGTAGGCTATTAGCGGTGCCAAAAATAGGACATCTACGCGCATGATGTCACGCGTAGAGTTTTCTACCCGAACTCGGCATTTATTGGCTAGAGGACGAATTGTCATAACATAAAATTCAGAAATCTAACCCTTCTAGGACTCAGCAATAACCCCCAATTTTTTTTAAATAACCGGTATTGTCAAGTAACACATCATCAACAAAGACATTTATTTTTCTCATTACAACTCTATAATGTTTTTTTTTTATTTATAAAATAATATTTATTTAGCAATATCAATATTATCAAAAAAATACAGGTGAGATAATACGCATTTTGCGTTATGAGACCGTATAAACATGGTATGAAAAATAAATAACATATACATTTTTTGTAAGGGCAGATAGTATTTTACATTGAATTTGGCAGCCTACATATTTAATGCAGTTGACAACATCTCTGAGAGGTGCTTTTGTTATATCGCTAAACAAATATCTACTAATAATAATATAATAATAATAATAATGTTTATTTACCATATAATAGTTTTACATATTTATTTTTACATAATATATTTAGTTTGTTACAATAATAAAATAGCAGAAAAAAAAAGAAAAGTAATGTATACATTTTTAACAAATAATTATAACAGGTAAATAAACAAGAAGAAAGCTCCCCAAAGAAACCAGTGGTTGTGCACGGGGAGTAAATTCTTGTTTTTTATTTTATCGGCAGTATCACTTACCGGTATAGGGAAAAATTAAACCTTTTTTTTTTTTTTTTATTTTTAGATATAGGTATATAAAAGGTTGAAAGTAATATAAACGAATTATTTGAAAAATAAAAAAAAAACTAATCAATTGAAGTAAAATAATAAAAACTATTTTCAATAGCATAAGCGAAACAGGTTTTTATACCAAGTTTTCTTTTTGCCTCTTGTGAGAAATTTTATTTAATTTTATTATCGATTTATTATATTGGTTTTGAGACTAGACCCTTAATCAGAGCTTTCATTTAATTTAATTGATAGAGAATATGTTGTCTATAAACTCGTTGTCTGTTTGTTTCAATAAATTTTTAAATAATTTTTTAATTAATGCAACTGAATTTATTTTATATATATACAATTTATATATTTCAGGTAAGTGGTTGTATAATCTAGGGATAATATATATATGACAGTGTTGAGCATATGTCTTTCTGACAAATTCAGTATGTACAAAATCGTGAACTCTTCTTCTTGTGTTATAATTATGATTTAAAAGGTTCAAAAGTTGTTTATTATGGTAAGTAAAAAGTAATATACTAAATATATATAGTTTTTTTATTTCAAATACATCCGCTTCTTGATAGAGAATTTCAGATGAATATCGATACGGTTTTTTCAACATTATTTTTAAAAACCTTTTTTGTAATATTTCTAATTTTTGAATATGTGTGCGGTATGTTCCGCCCCATGCAACAATACTGTACCTAATACGCGATTCTATTAATGAAAAGTAAATAGTTTTTAAGTATTCGAGATTTAAGATACTACTTAGATATTTAAATTTGTATAACAAAGGTCGTAAAGTTCTACATACCGTATCTATATGTTTGTCCCATCTTAGACTACTATCTATAGTAACGCCCAAATATTTGACAGATGTTGCAATTTTTATTTTTACGTAATCGTCATAATTTGATATTTTTAGCTCTTTATAATTTGGTAAATTATTTTTATATATTGAAAAAGGTATAAAATAAGTTTTTTCTAACAATTTATGGTTAAACCAGTCTAAGATTTTACTGGTTTCTTGTTCGGCTAGTGTTTTTAATTTATCCCACGAATTACTGTGATATAGAATAACTGTATCGTCCGCGAAGCATATTATTTGACCAGTTATTTTCATTGACGCAAGATTATTAATATAAATGGAGAAGAGCAAGGGTCCCAATACAGTACCTTGGGGTACTCCATATTTAATTATTCTTTCGTTACTTAGTTCGCTCTTTATTTTCACTACTTGGGTCCTTCGATTTAAATAACTTTCAAACAATAAAAATGGGGTACCTCTTATACCCAGGTCCTCTAAGGATTGAAGTAATTGAGCATGACTTACCGTGTCAAATGCCTTTGCGAGATCAAGGAATATAGCCAGAGTAGGAGTACTCTTATCTAAAGATTTATAAATATATTCAGTAAGTTTCGTTATGGCGTCTGTAGTTGATACACCTTTTTTAAATCCATATTGATTATTTGAAAGTAAGTTATATTTATAAAGATATTTATTTAACCGTTCTGTCAAAGCCTTCTCAAATATTTTACTGAAGCTAGTTATTAAAGATATAGGTCTATAATTTTTTACATTTTTCTTGTCGCCCTTTTTAAATATTGGCACGACAACAGATTTTTTAAATTGATTAGGACATTTACCTTTTTCAAATATTTTATTAATTAAAATTGTTATCGGATCAATGATATCATCGGCTATTTTTTTTAATAAGTCCACTGTGATATTATCTATACCTGGCGCTTTATTAGGCTTTAAAGAGTTTAAAATATCAAATACCTCAATTTTTGTAACTGGTTCTAAAAAGAATGTATGGTGAAACGGAGTCGTCGGAGGGGGAAGAGTTTTTGGTTTTGATATATTTTTAGCGTACGTTATTCCTACATTAGCAAAGTATTCATTAAATGTATTGCTTATATTTTTGCTGCTAGTTATTAGACAATTTTCTTCATTTAATATACTGTTTATTTCATCTTTTATTTCATGACCTTCTATTTTTTTTAGAGTATTATAAAGACCTTTAGAATTATTTTCAAATTTTTTAATTTCAGCTTGAAAATATTTTTTCTTTACTTCAATAATTAGCCTATTTAATTTATTTCTGTAATTTGTGTACTCATTTTTTAAGGTTAGATTTTCTGGATTTTGCAAATATTTCGTATATAGTCGTTTTTTATTTTCTATAGATTTAATTAAACCATCTGTTATCCATGATTTTCTTTTAATAAGACTACTTTTTTTCCTTAGTTCCTTTGTATTTTTGTTTATCAACACAGTGAGCGAATTAATGAATTTTTCAATAAAATCATCAACATCGTCATATGTATAACAGTTATTCCAATTTACTAGTTTTAGATCTTTAGATAAATTTTTATAATCAATAATTTTAATATATTTTTTTTCAGTGTTAATTCTAACTTTTTCAAAGGAAAAACTTATGAAAGTGGCCTTGTGATCTGTAACTAAAAGGTCTAATACAGCTGGAAAAATATTTTTAGTGATATCAAGTTTCGTTTTAACAAATATGTGATCAATGCAACTTCGGGAATTACCTTGTATTCTGGTACTTTTATTTATCGTTGAGATAAAATTATATTCACTAAGTACACTTAAATATTCTGAAGACTCGGGTGTTACATTTTTTATATTAATATTCATATCTCCCAAAATTATATTATATTTACATTTCATATTTTTTATATTATCTAGATAATTATTTAAGGCAAAACAAAATTCATTCTCATTTGTTGGTGGTGGTCTATATATCACGGTTATCATTATACTACTATTATTTACATCTATAACACTAATTTGTATTGCTTTACATACATCTATATATACAATTTTCCATTTAAACTTAAGATGTTTTCTTAAATATACAACTACGCCATCATTTTGGTTTATATTACCTTCACTGTATATGAGGGTATAGTTATCTAACTGAAAATGGCTATTATCGGGAATATTTCGAGTTTCTGTTAAACAAATGCAGTCGAAATCGACAACCATTTGACTTAGGTTAATTTGTAATTGGTCAATATTTTTTCTTAAGCTTCTTATATTTTGATGTAAGATTGTAAAATTAACATTGTTATTTTCTTTATAAAAGTCTGTAATGGCGTCATTAAAAATATGAACGTTATTAATTTTGTTTGTTTTTATAGGAGGGTAGCTAACATCACGTATATAGGGGTCCATTTTCTATAAATTTTTTTTCAGTTACCTAATTACTAATTTTATGTTAAATATATATCTAATACTAAAAATAAGATTAGTGCAGGTACCTAATTTTTTGCTTTCTGTCTTGTAACAATTTTGCTACCAACACTTGATGTGGAATTCTGCCTTGGTTTGGGTTTTTTCTGTTCGTCTTTCTTTTCGGTTTTTTTCTTATCTTCCTCCGTCTCTGCATGCACTATACTGTCTTTGGATTGTTCCTCTTCACTTTTATTTTCAATTAAATTCTCTTGATCAGTATTTTTGTTTTCGGAACAGTTTTCTTTTGGGTGTTTTACAGATGTCTCGTTTTGATGGTCTTCCTTTGGAGAATTCTCTTTCTGTCCTTGTGTGTTAATAACTTGAGAACTTTGTGGCGTTTTTATTGTAAACTGAGATAAACTATCTTCAAAAAATATATTTGTGGGTAATTTTAAGGGTGTTGCTGTGTGATTTATTATTCTCGTTAACTACATTTTCACCTGCTTCAAGAATATCATCATCTCGCTCCATATTTTTTAAATCCTCAACCGTGTATTTTTCATTATTTACAATTAAATTACGGCCACGAATTTGAGCAAAATTTTGTTTACCTCTTGCTAAGTTTAAATGTTTTTTAAGTAATTTTTGATCTTGTCGATCTTCGAAGCAAAGGTCATGAACTATATAAATATTTTTGCCTTTTAATTTATTACAGTTTCTCAAAATTAGATTTTTCTTCAGAAACGACACGAATTCAACTTTGATAGCTTGCTTGTTTCCAGTTTTTATTTGGTATATATTATTTATTTCATAAACTGATACATCCACTTGAAGTACTTCGTGAAATAATTGAAGAACAACAGCTATTGGATCTTCTTTTCCACAATTTTCTAATCCATAAATTAATATATTATTTTTTCTTGTTTGCCGATCGAGATTGACACATCTATTTTGAAGTTGTTTGTATTTTTGTTCTAGATGGTGAACTGATTTGTCAAGTTTATCAGAAAGTTTCTTGTTTTCTTCTTTGATTTCCTTAGATACTGATTTTTTTATGTCTTCTCCTTCTTTCTTTATTTCCAGTAGTAGTCTTTCTAATAATATAGTATTGGATATGTCTTCTTCTAAATTACTCATTCTCCACCACTGTTCTAAATGAACAAATGTATAAAGAAATAATCTAATCGTGACCACTTTTTATTAATATCACTTCGATTATTCTCTAGCAGATTTTCACAAATGAGATCATCGGGCAATCGTAGAGGATGTGGTCTTCCGTACTTGGCAATGACCATTCAGAATGCCTATGACCAGACTCAGATTCTGTATAGTCATAGTAAAGTATTTAGGATAACTTAAAAGCTCCCTGGCTCCCTTTTAAAGGACATGTGCCGTAAAAAATTACATTTTAACCTTTAAAAAGTCACAAGGACAATTTATTTGAAAAAAGGACTCTCCTTTTCAAAAAAGGACAGGAGGCAACCCTAGTGTCAATCCAATAGAAGGGTCAGGTCCAAAGAGTATTTGGTTTGCTGCCTTCTTGGCTAAGACGGTTACCTTTTGAGGTCGCGTGGTCTTTGATCCATCTTGAGGTGATCACATTGCTGATGGATACTTCGGCCAAAGCTTCGTGACATCCTAGTACTAACCCTAAGTAAATTCGTGATCTGTTCAGGGTGGGTAGTGCTTGTCTGCTATCTGTATAGATGAGCATGTTCCTTCCATTGATATTTATTGTATCTGGTGCTTTATTTTGCTGCTATGAGAATCTCCGTGAACTCTGTTTAAACTGTACCAGCACTATTGCTCACAGCCCATTCTATGAACCGTTGGTGATGTAAATATCAAGGGGAGTGAAACTAATAAAGACTTCCATGGCTCTGGTCAGTGTGGTTTGCATATCTCCTGTTATGTTGAGACATGCTGTTCTTTGAATTTGTTCTAGTTTTCGTATAGCTGTCAATTTTTGGGTTTTCGGTACCCAGACAATTGCACCGTATGTTGGCATAGATCTTATGATGTCCGAGTAAGTCCATGCGACGATTCAGAGAGAAACGCTAGGTTCGGCGGCATTGTTTTCTGTGTAAAAGTTCCATGTTAACTTGCTGTCAAAGGTGAGAACTCGATACTTAACCTCTGTTGCAAAGTTTAGTTTTGTGTTTTTAGGTGTTCTGTATGTTGTTCTAATTCCATTTTCATCCTTTTATATTTCTGTCTTCTTGGGATTGATAGACAGTGAATGGTCCTTGCACCACTGCTCTATAATTTTGAGAGCTACTTGTATTCTTGTATGTTCTCAAAATTCCTGTTTGCTGAATGACCAGGTCATCTGCATACGCTATTGTGTAGTAATTGTTATTATTGAATTATTGAGGCGGTTTATGAGGGTATCGAGGACCATATAAGCACCTTCTATGTCTATGAAAACACCCAAGGCGGACTCCTTATTGATCTGGAATCTCTCTATCTCGCCAGCAACTAGGTGAAGGGCTGAATCATTAGATCTACATGTGGTGTATGCATGTTGATTTGGGTGTAGTGGAATTGTTGTAATCACCGCATCTTTATGTACCTTTCGCATAGTCTTACCAATGTCTTCATGGAAAACGATATCAAACTAATTGGTCAGTATGTTTTTTGGGATAGTGTAATCCATCCTTCCGGGTTTAGGTATGAATACTACTTTTACCTCTCTCCATTTTTTAGGGATATACCTCAAAAGTAGGACACCGTCAGGTCCTGGCGATTTAAATGAGGAGAAGCTGGCTATTGCCCTTCTAATTTTGTCATTGTCTAGAATGTGTTTGGCAGTTTGCCCAGTCGACCACGTCTGTGATTAGAAGTGTGTTATCAGCAGAAGTTTGATGCTTCGAGGTTGACAGTTTTCATGCCCTCCTTTTTTATTAGCGCAGTGTGGCTCTTTTGATAGAGCCTTTTGAATCCTCGATGCCTGCGGGCAATCTTCGTAGGATCGCATTGTATCTCTCTCTTCTTGTATAAATAATATATTTCTCAATTCATTTAGAATGTTTCAAAGAATATTACAGAGCTAGAAGAAATGTTTGTTTTTGTACTAATTTTTTCTCAACTATTCTATTTTGATTATTTTGCATTAAATGGATTTTTCGTTAATATAGTACTTTTTATACTGCCTTTAGTAGTATTGTGATTATTACAATACATTTAAACACATCCTGAGGCGAAGTCTAGCTACTAACACTACTTAAAAGTGATGTTATCTTAGATTATAGAAACAACAGATACATTTATTTACCTGTAATAAGATACGCCACTGGTATCAACAGACTTGTAGTTGCGTGTAACAGCAGCATTGCCAGACGAGATCTAGGATTACATTCTGTTTTCTTTCAATCCACATAAAATATGTTCTTTCTCTTTTCCAATAATTGGACCAAACAAATTATACGTTATGAATGAAATGCTTCATCTGTTTATTTTATTAAAGGATGTTACCAAGGCGATTGATTACAGTGGATCAGTGTGCACCGGGTTCGCGGTAAAAATGAATCGGACATGCGCTCAAAGTATGAATTACTAGTTCTGAATCAGTTCGAAATTCTTTTTGCTAACAAAGCTAATAGATATGCCCTCAATAATAAAACTTTTTTTTAACCGTTCCTAATATATTTCTTTTTCTAGGTACCTGTGCTACCCGTCCGAAATAACCTAAGAAGGCCGAATTCGTCAAATTTTCCACAAGCCAGTCGGTTTCACTTTAGGAAAGGCCTGGCGTCGAAATGTACGTGGAAATGTACGGCGATAGCCTTTATTATGCTGTCTGTCGTTTTAACAGCAGCTCTATCGTATATTTCAGGTAAGATATGTTGCGTTCTTTTCTGTTTACATAGATCCATACTGTAGATATTGTAATTATTTGAAATAATCGATTAACCGAAAATATTCAATCGAAAACATCGATTAATCGAAAATAATCGATTAATCGAAAATAATCGATTAACCGAAGATAATCGATTAATAGAAAATAATCGATTAATTGAAAATAATCTATTAACCGAAGATAATCGATTAATCGAAAATAATCGATTAATCGAAAATATTTAAAAATAATCGAAAATAGTCGATTAATCGAAAATAATCGAAAATAATCGAAAATAATCAAAAATAATCGATTAATCGGTTATCTATTTTTAAAAAATAAATCGATTATTCTATTATTTTGCCCACCCCTAATCACAATAGTTTGTTCCAAATTTTCTGTTTCATTACCTACGAAGAATATTTTTTTTTATGTTCTCAAAGATAAAACAATGGCATTACAATTAAGCATTCCAAACAAAATGGCTACCAGTGGGTTTTGACAGGTTATGATAAAAAAAATTATGGCAACCCTGCAGGCCTGGTGATTTGAAAAGGTCAATGATATAGATAGTTACCTAGATTGATCATCCATATTTTTCAAAACAAACTTGAAGTAAAAATGTAGGTAATTATTTTTTTACTATATTCAAAGGTTGAATATTGGTTTGTAAACATATTTTTGCAAAATCGATTCTGAATAATGAGCACTTGCGTGGCAATATGGCCGCTAGCAAACGATCCGTTTGAGCAATCTATATATGTATCATTGACCCTGTCGATGACAACAGGTTCACAGAGTTGCCATATCTAAAATGTCAGTTGTCAGCAGTTTAACAGGTCGTTGGAATGCTTAATACCTTTCTAATGACTTTTCAAAATGTCATTTAATTTTATCCCTATCTTTTTTTTTTAATTTTCACCTTTGTATGTTTATTTATCGCGACATATCGTACTTAGCAGTTTTCATATACTTATACCATAAAAAAATAGACAATACAAAAATTTTCTTACATTTTTTATTAAAAACTAGCTCGTTGCCCAACAACGGGCGAACACTAAGGATTTTGTTAAAAATTGGTAAAATAATAAAATCTAAAATATTTTGACAGTTTTGTCATTTCCGCTTAAATCACAGAACTGAAATTAGAAGAATGGATTTGACAGTTTACAAAAACGTTTCTATAAGGGGAATAAAATTGAGTTTTTTTTTTGAGTTTGCGCAGTAGGTGTCAAACAAGGTCATAATTTGAAAAAAATATATATAACAATGTTTTCAGAAAAAAAATTAACGACGGGTTGTACAATACGCGGTTAATCGTCCCAAAAATTTTTTTAAATGAATAAAATTAACATTTATTTTTAAATCACTCTCACAAATTACAATTGACATGACCTGGCTTAAATTCGTGTTCTATCGATGTCTCACTTGAAATAAAAAAGTTGACACCTACTTCCGGTATAGTAAGTTGTCAAAATATTTTATATGTATATTATTTTTACCATTTCCGATAGCTATGTTTTACCAATTTTTAACAAAATACGTTCATTCGTTTGTCAGATACACGTTTTTATTAAACATAAGAGATAAACGTATTTTACACTATTAAAGAATCAATTAATTTTAAATTTAGGACTTTTAAATTTGTATATAGTTACATCTACGCAATCTTACAAAATATCAATAAACTAGACAAAAGATTTTTATGGACCATAAATTTTTATAGAATCGCCATCCCAACATTTTACTGATTGTCACAAATGACATAAAAAAGAAATACAACATTTCTACACTTTCGAAAAACCATAACTTGTCTTCGAGATTCATTCACATTTTTTGTCCTCGTATAAATTATATTTCGAATTCATAAGCGACACAATTGTAAATGGTATTCTTGAATTAGCGACCGTCTCGAAATCATTGTATACCTGACAATGTATCTGCACAAAAAAATATCTCAGTATCATTCAAAATGCCAGACTGAGTCCCTTTTTAACCCGACAAATCGGATTTCCAATTATGTTCCACCCGAGCGTTGTTAATACAGACTATACCCCTCTCAACATTTCCTATACCTGATGGTTTAGAAAGACCTGACGACGGACGGCCGACGTCAATAACGTCGGCACTCATAGGCAGACCATGATAAAGATCCTTTCTTAGTAACACTCCACGTGGACATTTTTGCTTTCAAAGAATAATTTATTTTGTTCTTTCAAACATACATTATTAATGCATTTTATTTAGTTTACTACCTACTCTTAACCTATTTTTGTAGCTCATTTAGCTTTTTATCTAACAAAATATTATAATTTTTAATATAATTTATTGATTGCCAATAAGAACTTCGGATTCCTTTTTCTTAACTTTTTATTATGAACATTATTTCGTCAACCATATTCTACATTTTATGAAAGATGACAATTGACAATTTGACAGATGGTACAAAGGGGTATTTTAGCGTTACATACTAACAATAATATACTAGGAACATTATAACACTCTAAATGATCTTTAAAAATAATTGTATATGATGGTTATACTCCTTATACGCTTTAATTTGTTTTTTTTTTTTTTAGCCTCCAGTTTACTCAACCTGTCATATCAAACGACGAAACCTTGCGAGGTACTCGTAGGCGAGAATACTCAAATCGTACCAGCTTCGAAAACGGCTCCGGCATCCGAAACGAACCTCTCGACTCCGACTCGACCGAAAACTTCCAGCACGGGAGGTAAATACCCACAGCTTGTACATTCCAGAAAACGTAGAAATGTTTTAGATCCACAGCATGCTTTTATGTTAAAGATTGAATCTACCACCAGTTCTAGTAGCACGAGTAGTAGTGATAGTACTGCTAGTACGGATTTGCATGACGGTACTAGCATTTCATTGCATGATTTTATGTCTTCAACTTCGTCTAGCAGTGAAGGATCTTCTGAAAGTACGTCTGAAACCCTAACTAATGAAGAAACAACACAAACGACTTTAGAAGAAATAGCTTATACATCTACTGACTATTCGCTTTCCACTGAAAGTACTGCATCTATAAGTACTATTGAGGAGCTTCCTGAACAATCTACTGAAGAAAATTTAAATTATGATTTAGCATCGAGTAATGAAGAAGATGTTTCATTATTTAATCTAAATTCTGAAGAATACGATGATTTTTTGAAAATTCAACGCGATCAACCTGATGATGATGATGATGATGATGATAGCGTAGAAATTGTTAAATTAGACCATGGTTTATTATCTACAACACAAAAATCGAAATCAGTATATAATTCCAACCTTAAAACAGAAGAGACGAAACCAGTTAAATCTCAAGATGCCTCTAAGGAACTCACTGACGCTAATCTATCAATGTTGCCAGTAGCTGAGGATAAAAACCTAAAACACATACGTTTTAATGATGAAACTGTGATGTATAATAATTTTACTAACAATAAAGTGAATCTTGATACTAACAAGACTGTTGTTAAGGTTATAGACCTTCCTCAAAGCATGTCTCATTCGAAAAAGTTTTTTGTAAATTTAACTATAGCAACTGATGATACTAACAATCCTTATTCTGAACAATCTGTATATGTGCTTTCGGTAGCTGTGCCTATCCAAGAAAATTTCCATCCAGCTGTCGAAGTTAGCAATAAAGAAAAAATTAAAGAACCTATAAGGAATTCAGATAAGTCTGCTTTGCATCATATTTTAGACTCTGATAAAGACAGTTCAGGCGGAACTTGTGAATGTTCTTGTCCATCTTTAGATTCCACTGAAATTTCAGATAATTCTTCAGAAGATTCCGATGGACATATTGTAATCCAACCTCTTAATATTTCGACTACTGCGCCTCCTGGCATCTCCAGTGATTACAGTAATTCCACTGAAGTTTCCTCTTCCGCAACCGATTTTTCTTCAACTTCAGAAAGTTGGATGACTAATTGCCCCGAAGTTACTACAAAGTTACCCCCGCCACCTACGATCTTGATATTAGAAGGTAGGAATCCGGCGTTATTGCTTAGCAAAAATAACATGCTAAGCATATAGAAAAGTGTTACTCAGCAGATATTATTCATGCTCAGCTGGTTATTCCTAAATTTATTGTGCTAAACTGTTATTTAGTTTAAACAAATATTATTGAATTAATTTAATAGGTCACTAGAAGAATTTTGTAACACAATAATGAAGCTTCTTAGTACTACAATAACCTTTGCTTATTTGGTTTTACTAAGGCTCACCAAAGGCCAAAAAAGAGCAATTGGATTGCTGATTTGCTAAATGAGAAGATTGCTGGACTGAAATCTGGAGGTATTCGTTAATCTCTTTTTTCGCTTTGTCGTTGCACATTAGCTGTAGCATTAGCGTGTCATTTCCCCCACTCCTCCATTGTTCCCATTTTATTTCTACCAATAAGAATGGAGATATGTGTTAAAGTTCTTTTGGCTTCGCCATTACGTGCGATTTTTCTCTTCGGCGTTAATCTACATGTAATTTTCCCCACGCTTCCGTTTTTCCCGTTTGGATCCGATTAATAGCAACGGACATATGCGTTAATGCTCTTTTGGCATTGCCACTGCGAGTAATTTTTTTTATAACCTTAATCTAGATGTAATTTTCCACACTTCTCCATTTTTCCCGTTTGAATCTAACACATAGCAACGAAGATACGTTAATGATATTTTAACGTTTGCCTATACTCGTTCACGTAAACTATGGGTGCCATCTTGGATCGCTTAGCCGAGTCGCAAACCACTTATCCAACTTTAAATTCTCAACACTAACAGATGGTACTATCTCGTTGCAGCTTTTGGTACAAGTGCGCCGAAACCCTATATCTTCACTTCTTTTGGTGTTAACTCTTTTATGGGTCTACCAATACCAGCAGAAACAATATTGATCAAACATTATTCGATAGCTCAGTGCATTGACTGACGGTCAACGCCTCTGTTTAAATCCCAAAGCTGACCAACGTGAATTCTTCATTAATTTGCATGGTTCCTTGTTGGATTTGATTAGTTACCATGTCTATGATGATGGGTGGAGTGTTCTGGGTTTTCCTTATTTCTAATTCAAATGACACAAGCCCTGCTTCTGGGATTAAAGTTCACTCGTAATGGGATGAATAGAAAGAGTATTATTATATCAATGTTGCATGTCTAATCGTGTCAATGATTTACTAATTATGTACTCTGCGTTAAAGTAACCAATAAACTTGAATGACTAGATGGAATCCATATTTAACTAGTCATTACTGACGCATCCTTTAGAAGAGGATGTAAATAAGAAGGCAAGTCATTCTTAGTCTCACTCCCCTTGATGTTTACATCAAAGAGGTTGCTCTGATGACAATGACACGATTCCGCACGGTTGGAACAGAACTTGATGTAAGATCTGGTGAGGAGAGACCTTTTGACCGGAGGCACTTGATACGTTCCTATTGCTTCAAGCGAATATAGACTCCACCTCATCGAGATATATCTTCTAAAAGCCATAAAAAGTTAGAACAAAAGTGGCAGGTACGATTCATACCTACACCGACGGTTTTAAAACCAAACAAGGTTCAGAATGTGGCATATACTCCCTTCTATTGGACTGACAACATTGGTAGTGACAGACCTATTTAAAGAACATTCCCTTGTGAAATTCAAGGAAAGATGGAATAAAACAAGAAGCTGTAGAATTGCCAGGGAGCCTTTAAGTTATCCTGACAACACTACAGAAAACAAATACTTAACTGTGACTAGACAGAATCTACGCCTGATCACATACATTCTGACTGGCCATTGCCAAGTACGGAAGTCAGCTTAGTCAGCTTCTGGAGTTAAAATTCCTTCGAAAGGGAGACAATTAATAATAATAATAATAATAATAATAATAATAATACTCTCCCTAATTCACCCCCTTACGAGTGAATTTCAACCCCTGAAGTCGACTGAACGTCTTGTGTAGGGGAAGGGACGGCTGTTATTATTATTTGCCGTGGCGCTCCGGGGCGACTTAAGGATGATTGATGGTGCCATTTGACTTACAGGTGAGGAAAACCCGGAAAACCTCACCCACCATCATAATTATTAAAGTTTTAGCAAATCTACGATTGGTTTGGCATAATGAAGAAATATATGGGCCACAAATGACATTATTTTCTAAAATAATATAAACATAATTGTTTTACAAAATTTTTCTAGTGATGTATTCATTAAAAACATTTCCTGGGCATCATTTTTTTATTAAATGAATTCAAATTGAATAAATCTGCGCTGACATTTTTTTATTTTAATATCCACTAAGCAAAGGCTAAATTTTAATTGCCTATTAATTAACAAATGGGCTTAAAATCCATTACAAGAACATTCAATAACACAATTATTATTAGTAATTCATTATACTGGTTATTCCATAGATTTCGTCTATTATTTCATTATTGACTAACAGACCCACTAACTTTATACAGGGTGAATCTTTTAACAATGATTTAATCTATCCAGATTATCAAAGAGATTTTATATTTTTATGATCCAGGGCTATTACTGTCTACCAATATTCAAAAATATGACGTATAGAATTTAAAATATATTTTGAAATTTATACAGTTACGTCCTTAAGTAATGGATATATTCATTTTTTACGTAATTTAAAATTTATGATTAAGATCCAGAAACTCGAGAATTTTTAATTCTAAAATGATATCGTTTGAGTATAATTGTATACCTTCCTCTGCAACCCGTTTGGAGTGACAGCAGCCATTTTAAACATTTTAAACAGAAATAAGAGGCGTGTAATAGCTCAATTAAAATGGGTTTTAATTTTCTATCCAATAATATAAGGTTTTTTGACTTTCTCTACATTTTTTGTTATAATCTCTATTTTGTAGACAATCAAATGTTCTTATTCTAAAACGTTTCCATGAGATTCCATGTCTTCGACTCGAGATAACTTTCAAAATATTCGTGGGTTCGTAAAAAGTTCCGGTAATAATTTAGGCACTAGTTGTATTATAAGTGATATTTTTTCTGATATAGCTTTCGTTTTTAGGGTATTTTGCCACCTGCATATAATTGATAGATCAAACGAACTTACCTGAAGTTCGATCTCAATTATATGAAACGCCTTGTTCGAGATGATCATAGGTAGCACCCCCCTTTTACCGCTCTGTGGTCACGTATTTTAAAGTCTAAATACCCTCAAAAGTATTTAGAAAGCTCCAAAATAACTAGTTCCAAAATAACTGGTTGTCCTTTCCACCTCTGCTCCCGTCCCGTGGTAGTCAGATACACTGTTGCGTCATTCTTTTAAAGCGGTAATTATGTTTGAATCTGGTATAGATGATCTTGGGTATAGGAGTGTGGGTGGGTTCGATCATCTCGAACAAGGCGTTTCATATAATTGAGATCGAACTTCACTTCAGGTAAGTTCGTTTGATCTATCAATTATATTCCACGCCTTGTTCTCAACGATCATAGGTAGATGTTTAAAGAAAAGATTAAACACAATTACCGAAAACATTTTTAATTCTAAACCCAACGATTGAATCATTATTCGAACTGTTTGGGTATATGCTAAGTAGGTACTCTACTAGCATTATTTTATGGACGCAAGAGTGTATCTGACTACCACGGGACGGGAGCAGAGGTGGGAAGGACAACCAGTTATTTTGGAAACAGTTATTTTGGAGCCTTCTAAATACTTTTGAGGGAATTTAGACTTTAAAAAACGTGGCCACAGAGCGGAAAAATGAGGGTACCTACCTACCTACCTACCTTGTTGAAGTCTTTTGGTTTTTCTGTTACAATACATGATGATACTAGATTTACAGCTTCATCTTCAAATTGTATAGACAACATAATTACAAATTTGGCAAACGAATTGTTTACTTCTGGTGTATTTAAACCCTCCTTTACAGACCACGGTGTCCAATACATTTCTGTGAGTTACAATAATAGTCTAACAAAAAATAAAAATCAAACATGTCTTAAAAGGTGTATTACAGATAATAGAATAAAGATGTTTAAACAGTCTCTATGTAGTATAGATTGGAGTATTTTTTTGTAATAAAGGTAATGATGTAATTTTTTTGTCAACTTTTCTTATCAATACTTACCATAACTTAAGTATGAAATATTTTCCCTTGAGACAATGTAAGAATAATTTAAGAAATTCACCAGTAATATGGTTTAACATCAGTCTAAAATCTCTAAGAAACGATCTCTCAACCATCAAACTAATAACAGACATTACAAAAGATCCAAATGACATAAAAACATACAAGAAACTCAAAAGCGAGTACAATGAAAAATTGAAATCAACAAAAAAACTGGCCTATGATGAATATATTACTCGAGCAAAAAATAAAGCCAAGGCATGTTGGCAAATGATCAATTTCGAAAGAAACAATTTAAAAAGAAATCTTGTAACTCCTGATTTAACACCAAATGAAATAAATAAATTTTTTTAATGCAACTGCTGCAAATATCATAAGATCTCTTCCTAATGTTTCGAATGCCCAACTTCTGAGTTTTAAACATTTACTTATGCCCTGTAGCTCATTTTTCTTCCGCCCTGTTCTTGAGGCAATTACTTCTCTAAAAAATTCTAAATGTGTTGACACTCACGAACTCAATCGTAAAATTTTAAAAGAGACTTGCAATATTATAATAAAACCGTTTACTGAACTGATTAATTTAATTTTATCCACTGGTATATTTTCTGAAGTACTTAAATACTCTAAAGTATTACCAATTTTCAAAAAAGGTGATGTCTCGAAAATTGATAACTATCGTCCCATAAGTATTGTTTCAATATTTAATAAAGTTATTGAAAAAATTATTAAAAAATAATTATGTGAGTATTTTGAATTAAACAACCTCTTCAGCAACTCCCAATATGGTTTTAGACGCTCTCGCTCTACTATACACAGGCTGTTCTCAATGTTGTGAATGATGTAGTTGAGGAACTTGAGCAGGGAAATCACGCAGCAGTAATGTTGTGCGATCTGTCAAAGGCTTTCGACTGCGTCTCTCATGATATTCTTCTGGAAAAGTTAAGCTTGCACTAATAAATTCATATATCAGTAACAGACAACAAGCTTTGATGAGTAATGGTGTTGTCTGAATTTCAGGCTGTAAGGCAAGGGGTTCCACAAGGTTCTGTCCTGGGTCCCCTTTTATTCATTGTTTATGTTAACGATCTAAGCCGTTTTATGCTACCTAATAAATCAGTTTTATTTGCTGATGATACAACACTCATCTTAACAGACAAAAATAATAAAAATTTAATTTCTTCGTTTGATGAAATTGCGGACAAAGCAAACACATGGTTCTCAACCAACAAATTAAAAGTTAACAGTGAAAAAACTGAAAATATGCAGATATCTGCCAATAATCAAATTATCTCAAAATGTGAATCAAAAAACGTAAAATTACTTGGTATTACATTGGATAACAAACTCAATTGGTCGGCCCACATTAATCAGTTAAAGAAAAAACTTTCTAGTTCTTTCTTTATTCTTCGGCAGTTGAAAAAACTTACCAACTTAAATACCCTCAAAACTACGTATTTCTCTCTCTTTCACTCGCATGTCAGCTATGGTGTACCACTTTGGGGAAACTCTTCTCAATCTATTCAAATCTTCCGGATGCAAAAAAAGCTATCAGAAATATGGCTAACATTGGATTCAGAGAACATTGTCAACCACATTTTATTAAATTTAAAATTATGCAACTACTTACCTACTTTATATCTACATCCAACACTTGTTGAAATTCATAGGAAACAGTCCGATATTCATAATTACAACACACGTAATTCACATTGTATTAGAAATACTCGTTTTAGGTTGTCTATCTGAAATAAATTCCCTAAATTATAACTTATTTAACACATTACCGCAGAACTTTAAAAATTTAAGTAATAATGCTTTTAAAAAAACATTAAAAAAAATACCTATTGAGACATTGTTTTTACTCTGTCAATGATTATGTAGCTCATTTTCGGTCTGTATGAGACATCTCACTATCACTCTGCCTCATCACCATTTTAACCTTGATAAGTACCTAATAATTATTGTTTTTATTTACATTGTTCAAATTCTGGTACTCTAATAATTATTGTTTTATTTGTTTTATTTATATTGTTCAAATTCTGTTACCACCTATGACTTGCTATAAACATAATGACTTACGTAAAATAGTTAATAAAATTATTCTATTCTATCATTGAGAACAAGGCGTGGAATATAATTATTAAAGGCAATATATTTAAATTGAATAGTTATAACACAAAATCAATTAGAAAAGTCAAATTTGGCAGATAGTTGTTTATACCAACTCATAGTTTTAGGATGCATTTCAAATATATTTTAAAATTTACTTATTTTTTGATGGAGAATATTCAAAATTTAAAAACCTTAAATTTCTGGATAAATAATTAAAAACCCTCCATTTAAAAGGGGTTGCTGTCACTCCAAGGGGTTGAAGGGGGAGGTATAAAATGATATGCTTAAAAAAATGTTTTTTTAGGATTTAAAATTGACGTATTTCAGGATTTTACTCATAGTCTGTAAATTTCGTAAAAAATTAATTTATCCCTTACTTATGGACCGCGCTGTATATTCGTAGTTATGAGAATATATATCAAACAGTTTTAAATGACCTTATTACTTTTTGACCTGGTAAGCAGTAACGCCGTAATAATACACTAAATAAAGAACAAAATGAAGTCAATCTATATTTTAGAAGAAAAAAATTCACCCTGTCACGTAAATTACTTGCACGCCTATGCTTTGCATCTCGCTAACACAACTAGACAGAAATCCAACTGTTTATTGAATTATTATTGCATGCTTTTATTGTTCGCCTATTCCGTTAAAGCAATTGTATCAGCTTCTGCATCTAGCTTGTAAATTTCAGCTGATCTCTTTTGTGTATATACAAATTTTATGTGTTTATCTTGTAATTTTCTAGCGAATTTATACTAAATTGGTATTCTAGATAAATTCCAGTTTGTTTGTAAAAACATTTCTGATTTAATTTGGTTTTATTTTATTTTTTTTAAATAGCATTATAAAGTTTGCATGTTACTGGTTTTGCTGGTTTAAAAAATGTAGGTATTTATTTTAAGCTTTATATTATTTTTTTCTGTAGTTCAACATTTATTCGAAATATGTTTTCTAATGTAACTGTTTTTGAAATGGCTTTAACAAATATTCAATGGGACATTCATTTAATTAATTCTTATAATCTTAAACTGATAAAACATTTTAAGTACGCCTTATAATTTTTGGACAACGATATTTAAAAAAGTATTCTTTTTAAAAATTTTAAACTTTGGCAACATAAATTAGGCAATAATATCTAGAATATGCATATATTTTAAAATTTTAATTCCTTCCGAGAAAAAGGGCTTTAAATTTTGAAATATAATGAAAATAAATAAGATTTTGTTAAATAGATATATAATTAACTACTAACACAACTGCTTATTTAAATAATATTAACAATATACAGTATTATGCAAAAGAGATACCAATATTATTTCGAAACTCACTGACTTCTGTAGAAATACTGAAACCTGTCAAGAGGTCATCTTTGTGAGCATGATGCCGTCATCTATTATTTGTTTTATATATTGCACCCACATTGGAACAAAAGTGATAAATTATATTGGAAAAAATAGGCGATGCCAATAAGATCGTTTAGAAAAATATATCGTACTGATTTTAATCATATATTTGGAATCAATATTTTTCGAATTAAAATTAAATACCTTCGATTGTTGATTGGTAGACCGTAATTTTGGTTGACTACTGTAAGGTAACGTGAACTTTAAGAAAAATAAATAAAGTTTATTAGTTGTATTTTGAAAATATTACAAAGTTAACAAAATAAACCAGAAAATATTGATGAACTGTGAGAATCTAATAACTCACAAGTTATTGAAAAGTTTTGGGAAGAGTTCACTGCCTATCACTATTAAAATACCTTTCAAATGATGTATCGCATGTATCACACTATTTAAAATAATTATCGATGACGTTATCACACTCACACAGACGACATCACAAATAAAAGGAATATCAAACGTAACGCACATTTGAAAATAAAAATGAACGGGTTTCAAACATTTTTCACAATTTATTAATTTCATTTGCATCATACTGTATTATTAATAAACTCTATTCCTTCTCACCTGCACATAATTTAGAATTTTTGTACTAAATACTATTTTATCTTTTTTTTGTTAATCCAGGGGCTCGTACATTTCCTGCTCAATCATTCCCCCCCGACGGTACGACGTTTTCCCAAATCTCCTTAGGTCAACGATTATCTAAAGAGATACCCGCCTATGGATACTGGAACATGCAATTTTATCAATCGGAAGCAGCCTACGTCCAGTTCGATTACAGTATTCCTAGGGGTGCCAGTATAGGAGTTTACGCCAGAAGAAACGCCTTACCAACCCACACGCAATACCATATTTTGGAAGTACTTAGCGGGTTTAAGGCTAGAACTACCAGGGCATCACATGTAAGTATTATTACTATTTTTTTTTGTTCATAAACTCGGGTATAATTCATTTTTTCTACGTTCATGCAAAAAACAAAACTTTATTGAACTATATTTAGTGAAAAAAACTAGTTCTTTATTGCACTCATCTGTCATTTTACTACAGCGTTTTATGATCATGACAAACATAAATATTCAAATCGACGCCAAATATTTAGTCCATTTTCATTTTCTGTGAGATTGGATTACGTTTTAAAAACAATTGCATATTTTATATTATTTTCAATCATTTAATAAATAAATTAATAAAAAATTTATTTTCTTAACATAGTTATAGTACTTTTTCAATGTTAATCGATGCTAATTATTAGTTATTAAATATTTTGCTATTAAATTACGCTTTTTATTCTTCTGCACTTAGTGTCGCCTAAATAAAACATTTTTTGGTTTTTGCATAAACGTAGAAAAAATATTGTATGCCACTCGTGCAAAAAGTGTTTATTGCACTCGACGTGTTGTCCAACTCGGCCTGACGGCCTCGAAAATTTCACGTCGCGTGCAATAAACACTTACTTTTTTCGCTTGTTGCATAAATAACTATTAATGGTAAACTGAATCCAAAATTATTATTTTTATGTCATACTAGTTCATTTTTGTGTCTTTATTTCTTACTTACTGTTTGATATATTATCGGCGAAGGAAAAAGTTCTGGGTAACTCTTTATTGGTCATAAAAATACATAAAAATGCATAAAAATACATAAAAATACATAAAAATACATAAAAATACATAAAAATACATAAAAATACATAAAAATACATAAAAATACATAAAAATACATAAAAATACATAAAAATACATAAAAATACATAAAAATACATAAAAATACATAAAAATACATAAAAATACATAAAAATACATAAAAATACATAAAAATACATAAAAATACATAAAAATACATAAAAATACATAAAAATACATAAAAATACATAAAAATACATAAAAATACATAAAAATACATAAAAATACATAAAAATACATAAAAATACATAAAAATACATAAAAATACATAAAAATACATAAAAATACATAAAAATACATAAAAATACATAAAAATACATAAAAATACATAAAAATACATAAAAATACATAAAAATACATAAAAATACATAAAAATACATAAAAATACATAAAAATACATAAAAATACATAAAAATACATAAAAATACATAAAAATACATAAAAATACATAAAAATACATAAAAATACATAAAAATACATAAAAATACATAAAAATACATAAAAATACATAAAAATACATAAAAATACATAAAAATACATAAAAATACATAAAAATACATAAAAATACATAAAAATACATAAAAATACATAAAAATACATAAAAATACATAAAAATACATAAAAATACATAAAAATACATAAAAATACATAAAAATACATAAAAATACATAAAAATACATAAAAATACATAAAAATACATAAAAATACATAAAAATACATAAAAATACATAAAAATACATAAAAATACATAAAAATACATAAAAATACATAAAAATACATAAAAATACATAAAAATACATAAAAATACATAAAAATACATAAAAATACATAAAAATACATAAAAATACATAAAAATACATAAAAATACATAAAAATACATAAAAATACATAAAAATACATAAAAATACATAAAAATACATAAAAATACATAAAAATACATAAAAATACATAAAAATACATAAAAATACATAAAAATACATAAAAATTCATAAAAATACATAAAAATACATAAAAATACATAAAAATACATAAAAATACATAAAAATACATAAAAATACATAAAAAAATACATAAAAAAATACTTAAAAAAATACATAAAAAACAAAAAAATACATGAAAAAAATACATAAAAATGCATAAAAATGCATAAAAAATACGTAAAAATACATAAAAATTCGTAGGTAAAAGGAATTGCCTAGCGGTGAGTTTTATCGATAAAGAGAAGCTCCGAGTGAGTGACAGGTGATATCACGTTCAGTGTCGCATGACCCTTGCCGCGCTGTCATCCTGACAACTGACAGTTCACTAGACTGGCAAAAGCCAACATAAGAGTTACCAATTACATTATTTGTTTGTTATATGAGGAAAAATGCCTTACAGGGTGAAATTGAAAAACTTTCAATTAAAACTTGTGTATTTCTTAGCAATCGACAGTAAAAAAGGAAGTAACGCACTACATGGAACAAGGCCACTGGTTCTTATCTTTGTACAATGACGATGGCGATCCGCAAGAAATCACTTTCGTGGCTGTAGTGGCAGATGACATGACCCATAACTGTCCTAACGGATGTAGCGGCAAAGGAGAATGTCTTATGGGACATTGTCAATGCAATCCTGGATTTGGAGGGGACGATTGTAGTGAGAGTAAGTCAAAATTGTTTATGACATTCTAAAATGTGTATGAATAATATAGAGATAGATAGAGCGATATTACAAAAGTTAGTAATTTTGATCAAGTGATAAATTACTGTAATAAATCACTATAATAAATCAAGCTTTTCAATCACAATATAAACATCAATAAGACATGTCTGTGTACGGATACATGTAAATATTAGGTATTCCAAACAAAATGGCTGTCGTGGGAAGGTTTGGTATATCTAAAAGGTTGCGACATACAATGTATTTTATCTATAACATCTGATATCATGAATAATGGATTAAATATAAATATTTTATTTAAAAACTGTTTATACGTTTTTCATAAATTGGCAGGCTTGGCTACAACTATTTGGAATAAAAATATCGTGCAAGATGGAAGTCTATGTCGCAACCCCCTTAGATATATGAGCCCTGCCCACTGACAGCTATTGATTGACAGATCGTTGGTTTGCCTAATTGAATGTATCATATTAGAGTTGTACCTTAAAAAAAGCGTTTAGCCTCTAGTACTGCTCGCGAGTAACTCAGATGACATAAAAAAGCAAGTAAATTTGATTATACAGTAATAAAAAAAGGTACTAAAGTACTACAAATTTTCTATATCTTAATCAATTTTGAATGTTGATCTAATACCTCAATTTTACTTTATCATAAAAACACGCTACTAATACTTAGATTCGTATGCCAAAATACACAAATCAAGCTAGATAAAGTTGAATAAAATTATTGCAGTCTCTGTAAAACAGCCGACGAAAAGCCACAGAGTTCTTGTTACAGTTTTAAAACACGATAAATCGACACTAGATAGTTTAACCACTGTTTTTATTGCGTTCCTCGTAAATACATACACACATAACAACTATAATAAAATTAATTTACAGTTCTTATTCCTTCCAAACATTTGTATAAATTAAATAGAAATGCATAGTTTTAAACACCAAGAGTTTAATAATCCAGTAATAAGAAGTTGAGTTCAGACATATTTTTAGAATCTGGCTCGAAGGACCAAAAATATGTTTGAACTCTAACTTATTATTACTGGTAAACTGGTTCAAACTGTGTAAGATAATGAATGGGTTAGAATTAAACATTGTTTGGAAGGAATTACAATTGTGAATTTATTTTATTATGGATACTATGTTGGATGACGTATGCGCAAAACAACTAACAAAATGTCGGTTTATTAGGTTTTTAAACTACAGTAGTAAACATCTAGCTGGACGCGTTTTATTTTTTTGGTCATACGAACTTGCTTGTGCATCTGCATGCCTCACGAATGTCTTTTCTGCAACTAGGTGTATGCCCGGTGCTGTGCAGCCAGCGCGGGGAATATATTAACGGAGAATGTCAATGCAACCCCGGATGGAAAGGAAAGGAATGTCAACTAAGGCATGACGAATGCGAAGTACCCGATTGCAACGGACACGGCCACTGTGCTAACGGAAAATGCAACTGTATACGAGGGTATAAAGGAAAGTTTTGCGAAGAAGGTGAGAAGTTAACTTGCACTTTACTAACATGCACTTAAATGTATGTTTTAACATTCTTTGCTAGTCTCTATTATTTCTATTAATAATAACAATTTTGCTTGGTATATAAAACAACTGAATTACGCACTATTAACTTCTAATAAAAATTAAAAATATTGTATTTTTCTCAAATTCATCCTTAAAGTAAGTAATGTTATTGAATATCAAATTATAAAAACAATTTAATTATTACACTTTCATCTTGAAATAAATTTTATAGGAATTCAAACTATTTTGACATTGGTGCGTTTAAAGTTTATTAACAAACTTGTTTTATTTTGTAGCCGACTGTCCCCATCCTACTTGTTCTTCCCACGGATACTGCGTAGAAGGCACTTGCATCTGTAAAAAAGGATGGAAAGGTCTCGATTGTTCTTTAATGGACAAAGACGCTCTTCAATGTCTTCCAGACTGTTCTGGGCATGGAACGTTCGATTTGGAATCTCAAACGTGCACTTGTGAACCACGGTGGTCAGGCGACGATTGCTCAAGAGGTAAGTAATTCATTTTTAAAATTTATATTCAGATAAATAAGCCATCTTCTTTTTAAATAGGGTTTTTAATTAGTATCTACTATTGAACCACCCTGTATAAGGTGTGACTTATATCATTAAAAAGCATTTTGAACTAACTTTCCAATTATGTATGACAAGGGGGTTGCTATTTATTTTCATATACCTACATATTTTTAACCATAAATAAATACTTAATACGCCTCTGTGCAAGTGCGAACCCTTGGTAACAAACAATTTTAAACTAGTTACACTAGAGGTAATCAATATGAGTAAAATTTTTGTGGCGCCAATTTTCACATAGTTACGTCACTTTATATAAATACTCCCACGTTTAACAAAATTATTGGTCCAATCCCAGACAGAGGCGTGACTTAACAAATCGCGTTACTGACACCACTAGAAAATCATTTTTTAAATTCATTCTTTCTTCGTCTTCTTTAGAATTGTGCGACTTGGATTGCGGCATACACGGTCATTGTGTCAGCGAAGCCTGTCAATGCGACCCGGGCTGGTCAGGGGAGTACTGCAGTCTCAAACAGTGCGATCCGCGGTGTAACGATCATGGACAGTGCAAAAATGGAACGTGTCTCTGCGTGACAGGTTGGAACGGAAAACATTGCACCATCGAAGGCTGCCCTAACAGTTGTTCGGGGCATGGCCAGTGCAGATTTAGCAGCGAAGGTAGTTGGGAGTGTAGATGCGACAACGGTTGGGATGGTACGGACTGTAATATTTTGTTGGAGCAGAACTGCAACGATGGAAGAGATAATGATAAAGGTATTTCACAATTTAAACCTATTTCTACTTACTTATTTCTACTTATTTCTACTTATTTCTAATTATTTCTACTTATTTCTACTTATTTCTACTTATTTCTACTTATTTCTACTTATTTCTACTTATTTCTACTTATTTCTACTTATTTCTACTTATTTCTACTTATTTCTACTTATTTCTACTTATTTCTACTTATTTCTACTTATTTCTACTTATTTCTACTTATTTCTACTTATTTCTACTTATTTCTACTTATTTCTACTTATTTCTACTTATTTCTACTTATTTCTACTTATTTCTACTTATTTCTACTTATTTCTACTTATTTCTACTTATTTCTACTTATTTCTACTTATTTCTACTTATTTCTACTTATTTCTACTTATTTCTACTTATTTCTACTTATTTCTACTTATTTCTACTTATTTCTACTTATTTCTACTTATTTCTACTTATTTCTACTTATTTCTACTTATTTCTACTTATTTCTACTTATTTCTACTTATTTCTACTTATTTCTACTTATTTCTACTTATTTCTACTTATTTCTACTTATTTCTACTTATTTCTACTTATTTCTACTTATTTCTACTTATTTCTACTTATTTCTACTTATTTCTACTTATTTCTACTTATTTCTACTTATTTCTACTTATTTCTACTTATTTCTACTTATTTCTACTTATTTCTACTTATTTCTACTTATTTTAACTTACTTGTTTCAAATTGACTTTTTTAAATTGAATTAAAGACGTTATTAAATTATTGTACTTTTCTAGACGGACTTGTAGACTGTGAGGATCCGGAATGTTGTATGAACCCTTCTTGCAAAAACAGCCAACTATGTGTATCTTCTCCAAAACCAATCGACATTTTGTTAAGAAAACAGCCTCCGGCGATAACAGCATCGTTCTTCGAAAGAATGAAGTTTTTAATCGATGAAGGAAGCTTACAAAACTATGCTCGTCAAGAAACATTTAATGAAAGGTGAGTAATTTCAAAAATATTGATATTTTCTTTAATAACATTAACTATCTTACTTGTGTCACCAGAATTGATAGAAATGTTTAATATGACAAGCGACAAGTGACATTACTCATGGTTTAATCATTGATATGGCAACCTGAGGATGCGATTACACATGACTTGTCCTCAGGTTGCCATATTAAAGCCTCGTTCAGTCACTGCAGATCATCCGCGCGGACTCAGCTGTGTCTGAACGAATTCTAATGTGTTAAACAAACTACAACGGATTTGACACTTGACAAATATACCTCAAATGTATTTTCTATATTTTTACTCATCAATTCTGGACGACCGTCTTTTTACTTGTTATTTGTTTAAATATTTATAGCTGCTTTGTTGTGCCCCAGTTGAAACACTCCTATTTGTGTGATTTTTTTCTTCAGTCTATCACTTTTATGAATGGTGACTTGCTTGTTTAAACCTCTTTTTCTAGATGTTATATATTATGCTCTAGTGTTGAATAACAAGATAAATTTTAAAAAGCGTATTCTCGTAACACTAAACATCATAATATTTAATAGCAATGATTTTCCATTAAAATATTGAACTATTTATGTAAAATATTATGGGAAAACATTGTAGCTTCTAAAAAAAAGGGTGTGTGCTTAAAACCACACCTCAGAAGTGAAAACTCATTTGGCATAAATATTACACTGAAAGTTTATTTAGGTTAGATCAAATATATTATTAAATATACTCGAAGAAAAGACAAAGTTAATCAAAAAGTCATTGTCAGTAATAGAAATACGATGTAAATATCGACACAATGCCCGACGCGTTTTCCTGGACTGTAACTATATAGCTACTATGTCACGCATTATGCTATAACGTCCATTCGGGTAATCTCGACTTTAGAAGTCGAGTTCTACCGAACGAGTATAACTAAAATCTACTTGAGTCGAGTGTGGCCGAATGAGCGTTACATAGCCTAGCTGGACGGCTCAGTCTCATTCAGAACTCAGAAAAAAGTTGCGCAAGGCGCGCCAAAATAAGTTTTCACTTCACAAAAACCGTCGGTAACTACCCAATCTTCATACTAACTTATCAATTTGGCTTTTTCTTTGATTCTTGCTGCTCAGTATGTTTTGGAATAACTTCAATACGAGGTAAGGCTAGCAGCCGTATTTGATTAAGAATTATTTAGATTTAGCTTTAGATGTTTAATTAAAACCACTTGTATCGTTTTTTTTTATCTATTTTAGTTATTGCTCGTTTTTGTATGCTAAAACTCCACTTGTGTTTGTGTATTTTACGTTTGCTTCAAATTTTATGTTCATTATTGTTGTTTTTGTTTATGGTACAGTGTTTGAAGATGAATATAGGCTATTACCTCAGAATTCTTTCGGACTACAACGATTTTGATGAAAATTAAGCTTACATATTACCTTCTTGAAATGTTATATGTTCCTGATGTGCGCTTTTTATTTTTAGGGTATGATAACCACTCCTTTTGACGATAAGTGTGCTTGGATTAAAATAATGTTTATCTTTTATAATATTGAACATAATTTATGATCCATTGTGATGTTTCAGTCCTTAAAAACCACTCCTTATGACGAACTTGACAAAAAGTAATTTTCAACAGTTTAAAATTTTTTATTAGTGCATTTATACCTAATTAACTGAAATATCCTTACAAAAGAGCTTGTCTGGTTAAGAGCGCCGTTTTAACTGAATCCCAAGTAGTCTAAAAAAGCTTACGTATTCCTGGTACCCGTTTAGACTTAGTCTATCAAAGTACTATAAGTTGCGCGTTTGGTTTTTATCAATTATTTCCTTAATTTTAATATCCAATCGCTCCAAAACCTACTTTACAGGTAATTTTAAGTGATACCAAGTCTGTAAACTTGAACTTTCTTGAGCCTTTCACTTTGGAGATTTTTGAGTTTAAAGGGCTCGGGGAAGGTGGTACTTGCACTCAAATTCAAACTAAAAAGGGAGATAATACAAGTGATTTTTATCCTCTAGAAAAGAAAAAGATAAACCTAAATTTTTCAACTCTTGTATGTTTGGCTTATCTTCTTTAGTTTTTGAGTTATTATGAAAACAAAAGATTTTTCGAAAATTAAATCAAACTTATATTCCAATCTAAGCATTATAAACCTTTCAAACTTCTAGAACATATTTTTAGTTCCTAATTAAAGTTAATTTTAAAACATCGGGCACCACGGGAATTCTATAGTTTGTTCCTCCAGCGCAAACACATTTTTGGCGGTTGATGGTGACTGATGTAAAACTAACCAGAAAACCTATGGCGGTCACTTATTACCGCATAAAAATGTTTACTAGCAATAAGTTTAGTATGCGTTCAGATTACTCAAAATGAGACAATCACTAGAGATCACTATTGACTGATAAGCTAGTTCAGCCGCGATCACTAGCCCTTTCAGGACGGATACTGCTTATTAATACTTTACACATATATATGTCGTTAAATTACTATATAATGATTAATGAAAAATTCATATTTTTATTACCCATCGCTCCACACTATAGTTTTTTCAAAAAGAACGAAAAACATACTAAATTAAATATTTACCACGTGGTTTTTAAAGATACTACTCATACAGTTGGTTAACGCTCATATGCGTCACTACATCCTACTGTCTAAAGGAATATTGACACACTGATGCGTGATCCGGCTTTTGGAAATATATGTCACATGACTTGGGAGGGTATATAAGCATGTAAAGCATACATGCGTCAGCCGGCCGTGCAGAGTATTATATAACGACGCACATGTGCGTTACCTATCCTTGATGCTGTAGCGCTTAACGTGTTAAATAAATTAAGTACAACTTTAATTTTAGCGTATAACTAACTCATTGTCTTTTTTCCGAAAAAAACGAGAGTATACTTTCATGATAACTGTCAGTTTTCATATTGACAACTTCAAAACAAGCTGAATTTAAAGGTCTTTTCAAGCACTTTACAGCCTCCGATAAGTTATCTTCTAAAAATTTGTCGTGTTTCCGTTACTTAACGTTGAAATGTTTTAATTCAATTTTTGGCGAACATTCACTTTCAACGTGTCCTGATTCTGTTTTGCATCCACAGAAATAAATCATATAAATGAATTCGTTTTTAAAAAATTTTTCGTTTTCTATAATTTTTTAATCAAAACGTAAGGTTTTTGATTTATTCGTAAAAAAATCATTGGCAAAAATCGACTTAGGAGGAAATATTTGCATGTGACGCATATATGCGTCAGGCGACCATGTAGAATGACGCACATGTGCGTTACCCGTCTTGAAAGGGCTACTGACCACTGTGGCGCTTAGGTATAATTTTAATTATCACAGATAAGCCATTGGCTTCGTCGCTGAGTTTTTTCTGGAGAAATCTTTATTTTCATAACTCGTGTTAGTTTACATAATGACGACGCCTTCAACAGACGCACTTTAAAAAGCACTGATGAGCTTTCTTCTAAAAATTTGTTGTTTCCGTTTTTTAACGTTGAAATATTTGAATTCACTTTTTGGCGAACAGTCACTTTTAACGAGGCATAACTCTGTTCCTATTGCATCTATAGAAATAAAACAAATATAAATAGACTCGTTTTTTAAAAAGCTTCCATTTCTTTTTATTATTTGTTTATCGAACTTAAGGTCTTTGAGTTATTCGTGAAAAAACACTGTCAAAAATCGACTTGGGAAGGGATGTAAGCATGCGACGCATATATGCGTCAGCCCGCCATGTGGAATATTTTGTAATGACGCACATGTGCGTTACCCGTCCTGAAAGGGCCACTGACCACTGTGGCGCTTAAGTATAATTTTAATTTCTACGGCTAAGCCATTGGCTTTATTTTTATGATACCTCGTGTTAGTTTACATACTGATGACGACTTCAAAAGAAGCTGATTTTAAAGGCCTTTTCAAGTACTTTAAAAAGCACTGATGAACTTTACTCTAAAAAATTTATCGTGTTTTTGACGAATATAAATAGACTTGTTTTTAAAAAGTTTCATTTGTTTTTTATTTTTTTTTATCAAACGTAAGGTCTTTGAGTTATTCGTGAAAAATCACTTTTAAAAATTGAGTGGGGAGGGGCTATAGGCATGTGACGCGTATACGTGTAAGTCGGCCGTGTGGAATGTTTTGTAATGACGCATATACGCGTAAGCCGGTCGTGTGGAATGTTTTGTAATAACGCTTATGTGCGTTACCCGTCCTAAAAGGGCTAGTGATTGTTGTGGCCCTTAACGTGTTAAATGAATTACTTGTAATTTTAATTTCTACGGATAAGCCATTGGCTTCTTCGTTGAGTTTTTTTTTTTGTGAAAAAAAACAAGAGATTTACTTTATTTTTATCGTAATTCTATCATTTTTTGTACTGAAAACTTCAAAAGAAGCTAATTTAAAAAGCTATAAAGCTTTATAGCTCTAAAAATTTGTCATGTTTCCGTTATTTTACGTTACAATGTTTTAATTCAGTTTTTGACGAACAGTCACTTTCAACAAGACATAACTCGGTTCCTATTGCATCTTTAGAAATAAAACAAATATTAATCGATTCGTTTTTTAAAAAGTTTTCATTTGTTTCTTATATTTTTTTAATAAAACGTAAGGTTTTGAATTATTTGTGAAAAATCACTGTAAAACATACATGTTTTGAATGTTCAATTGCGAATAGCTCTATTAACAAAACTCCACCGAACATGTTTGTCTTAAAACACTTCAATTTATCATTATTTGTAGTTTTCTAAATTAATTTTCATCCCCAAGTAAGGGTGGCATCCACCCTATGGTGAAAGCGCACGTTGGCACTCTATAGCTTCTCTTTATTGAGCTATTCCTTACTTACTCTCCAAATTGCACGTCAATCGGTTTAATCCGAAAGAATTCGGAACGAAAAACCATGAAACACTGGACTATTAGCAATTTCCTAAAATAATAAATAATTTATTTTATAGCCGTTCGGGAGTCGTTCGCGGCCGAGTCCAAACACAGATGGGAACTGGACTAATGGGTGTCCGAGTCAGTACAAGCACTCCTTTGGAAGGTTTTACGCTCACAAGAGATGACGGTTGGTTCGATCTGCTGGTCAACGGTGGAGGCGCAGTTACTTTACACTTTGGTAGATCACCTTTCAGTCCGCAGAGCCGTATAGTTTTCGTCCCATGGAACGAAGTAGTTATAATAGAAAACGTTGTAATGACCACTAGTGAAGATAGACCGATTACTTTGATGCCGCAGCCTTGCACATCGCATGACTTCGATACAATGAAGCCTGTAGTATTAGCAACGTGGAAGCATGGATTTCAAGGCGCTTGTCCGGATAAGAGCGCCATTTTAGCTGAATCCCAAGTAGTCCAAGAAAGCTTACGTATTCCCGGTACCGGTTTAGACTTAGTTTATCAAAGCTCTAGAGCCGCTGGATACTTATCAACCATCCAATTACAACTTACACCGGAAGTTATACCTGCAGATTTAAAGCTTATTCATTTAAGAATAACGATTGAAGGTATCCTTTTCGAGAAAGTTTTCGAAGCAGATCCGGTCATCAAATTCACTTATGCTTGGAACAGACTCAATGTCTATAGACAAAGAGTTTATGGAGTCACTAATGCAATCGTCAAAGTTGGTTATGAATACAACAACTGTAAAGATATAATTTGGGATGTTCAAACGACAAAATTAAGCGGACACGACATGAGTATATCGGAAGTAGGAGGCTGGAATTTGGATATACATCATAGATACAACTTTCACGAAGGTAATAATTTTTAGTTTGTACTTTGTGATAATTTAAATCTAACACACGATCATTCTTAGGTATTCTTCAAAAAGGTGACGGATCAAACATTTATCTCAAGCATAAACCGCGCGTTATATTGACGACTATGGGCGATGGACATCAACGTCCGCTAGAATGCACGGATTGCGAAGGACAAGCCTATAAACAACGTCTTTTAGCTCCAGTAGCTCTAGCTAGTGCTCCAGATGGTTCGCTGTTCATTGGTGATTTCAATCTAGTTAGAAAAATGCAAACGGATGGAACAGTCAGAACCATAGTCAGACTAAAGTAAGTTATTCTTAATAACATTTATATTTTCTTATTTATTTGTTTCTACCAAATAGTTGTAATCATAAAGGTTTATATTGTACTATTAAGGCCCAAACTATTATAAATCATCTTAAAAGTGTTCAGTATTTTTTTTTGTGTGTCATCGGCTTCAACTGCTAAGGTTATTTCGCCTCGTGTTCTGCGTAGGCTTTGTTACTGTTTCCCAGCGCCACTTTAGGAACAGCACTGTTATTTAGAACCCAACAGTGAATGGTCGAGTGGGGAATCCTACCAAGGCATCAGAATTAATTTTAAATAATTAAATTAAATGAAAAAATCTCGGGTAACGGAGGGATTTGAACCTGGGACCCTTGGATCCACAGGCAGAGACTCTACCACTGAGCCACCCTCCCCCTTACTCATATTATTACTTTTTATTTTGTTCCCATATATTTGATACTTGTGGATTTTTTTTAATTTCTTGCCCTTTCTTTTTTTATCTCATTTTTTACTTCTATTGTCTTTCATATTCTCTTTACTATCCTCTTTTATTTGACGTATTTCTTCAATAACTTCTGTTTCTATTATTTTTCTAATTTTCTGTTCCAATAATTTTTCTACTTCTGGTATTTTTAAGTCCTCTTTTATGTTTTCTATATCTATTTGTTCTATTTTCTTCTTTGTTTCTTTTTTTATATTAATTTATTTCTTGTTTAATTGTCAATTTTAAATCTTCTTTATTTTAGTTTATATCTTCTTTTATTTCTAGCTTTTTTTGATGTTGTCTTGATGATGGTGGGTGAGGTTTTCCGGGTTTTCCTCACCTGTAAGTCAAATGGCACCATCAATCATCTTTAAGTCGCCCCGGAGCGCCACGGCAAATAATAATAATAGCCGTCCCTTTCCCCGGACAAGCTCAGCTTTTGGGGTTAAAATTCACTCGTAAGGGGGTGAATTAGGGAGAGTATTATTATTATTATTATTATTATTATTATTATTATTATTATTATTATTATTATTATTATTATTATTATTATTATTATTATTATTATTATTAATTATTATTATTATTATTATTATTATTATCTACTACTTCTTTATATCCATCAATCAACATTTATAACATTGCTTGCACTGACATTTCTTTTATTTTCTTTACGGTTTTATTTTCTATTTCTAACACTTTTTTATTTATTTCTTTATTTTGTTCGTCTTTTCGACTGATTCTTTTTTCTCTGCTTAAATTATTTTTATTATATAATTTTCACTTCCGTTTTTACTTTATCTTGTTTGTTTATAAGAAAATATTAACAAACTCCTATTATAGTTTGCACAGTACTGGTTTATTACACACCACTGAGTTTATTTTTAACACACCTTATCAGTTTGACAGATCGACAGTTTTTAATGCCCCACGTTGTGCGCCTTTATGTAATTTTATACAAAATATATTTTATAACATTGTAATATTTATATGCCCATTAATAGCGTCAATGATTTTTATATTTTACAAAGTGATTTTAATGCACTGCATGATTGGTCTGTGACGAACTGTGTCACTTTTGGTAGAGGTCATGACATGATTGCTCAAGTTAATGAGAAAAAGGTTTAGGATCAACATATATTGTTCCTCGTGCCTCGTATCACTCATGCAATAAATAAAGCTCTTAAAACTGGGTTTTGTCTTAATAAACTCGAACAACCTCTCATTTAATTTCATTATTCAACTTATGTTAGGTCAATATTGGAATATGAGTTGCCAGTTTGGTCTTCATTTTATGATATTTACATTAGGTCATTAGAATCTGTTCAACCCAAATTTCTGAGATACTATGCATTCAAATTAGGTTTAGTATTTGGCAACTATGATTATAATGTTTTATTAAAGTATTTTCATGATATTTATTGTTCTGAACGTTTAGAATCAATTCAAAATGATTTATTCTTCATTCCATTTCACAGAACTAATTATAGTCTTCTAACAAGAATGCAAAGAAGTGTAAATTCATTAAATTTTGATATTCTGGGAAAGTCTTTCAATAGTTTTAGAAAAGCTGCAATAAATAGACTCTTTTGATATGTTCATTCATTCATTCATTCATTCATTCCTATTGATTTTTATTGATATTTAATATTTTATAAAAAAAAATATTATTTAACATTTAACCGACTGATTTTACTTTTAATTAAAATATAATCATTGTAAATAACACACTTTAAAGTACACGACAACTAACTGACAATAGTTACATAAAATGATTTTTGTCAGAATCACTAAAACAAATACATGGTTGCTAGATTTCAAGCTAATACGTAACACTGACAAGTGTATTCTTGTGTATTTTTTATTGTAATGTGGATTTCCCGTATATTCAATAAATAAATGACATATTTTTATTATTTTCAGTGCTACCAGGGTATCCTACCGTTACCACATGTCTCTCAGTCCATTAGACGGCACTCTGTACATTTCCGATCCGGAGTCTCATCAAATTATAAAAATTAGAAGCACAGACGACTCTTCCGATCCCGATCATAATTGGGAAACAGTTGTGGGATCCGGAGAAAGATGCCTACCAGGAGACGAAGCTCATTGTGGAGACGGCGCTTTAGCTAGAGACGCCAAATTAGCCTATCCAAAAGGAGTAGCAGTGTCCAATGACAACGTACTCTATTTCGCTGACGGTACTAATATCAGAATGGTAGACAGAGATGGAATAGTAACTACAGTTATAGGAAATCATATGCATAAATCGCACTGGAAACCTCTACCTTGCGAAGGCACGTTGAACTTAGAAGAAGTCCACTTGAGATGGCCCACTGAATTATCTATAAATCCACTTGATAATACTCTTCATATTATAGACGATCATATGATTCTGCAACTAACTTTAGATGGAAGAGTAAAAGTTATAGCTGGTAGGCCACTTCACTGCGCTTCTCCAGTAACCGGTTACGATATAGAACTAGCTACACATGCTACACTCGTTATGCCTCAAAGCATAGCATTCAGTTCTTCCGGAGAGCTCTACATAGCCGAAAGCGATTCGCAAAGAATTAACAGAGTTCGGGTCATCGGAACTGATGGAAAAATATCCCCGTACGCTGGAGCTGAATCTAAATGTAATTGTTTAGAAAGAGGATGCGATTGTTTCGAAGCTGATCATTTCCTCGCGGCAAACGCCAAATTCAATACCATTTCTTCAGTAACTGTTACTCCAGATGGACATGTTCATATCGGAGATCAAGCTAACTACAGAATAAGATCGGTTATGGCGAGCATTCCCGACGCTAGTACATCTAGGGAATACGAAATTTACTCTCCGGAAACGCAAGAGATTTATATCTTTAACAGATTCGGTCAACATGTTGCTACCAAAAATATTTTGACAGGAGAATCTAGTTACGTCTTCACTTACAACGTTAACACCAGCAACGGCAAGCTTAGTACAGTCACAGACGCGGCTGGTAACAAAGTTTTCCTTCTAAGAGATTATTCTAGTCAAGTAAATTCGATAGAAAACACCAAAGGTCAAAAATGTCGATTAAGAATGTCAAGAATGAGATTACTATACGAACTCAGCACTCCAGACAACTACAACGTTACTTTCGACTATCACGGAGCTACTGGCTTGCTAAAAACTAAACTAGACAGTAGCGGTAGAAGTTACGTATATAATTATGATGAATTCGGTCGACTAGTATCGGCAGTAACTCCCACGGGTAAAATTATAAGTCTTTCATTCGATCTGAGCTTGAAAGGAGCCACTGTTAAAGTGAGCCAAAACAACAAACCACCAGTTTCGATGCTAATCAAAGGTTCCAGCGTGTCTACCAAAGTAGATGAAATCGAAAATAGAATTATCTTACTACCAGATGGCAGCGTAACTAGTATGTCATCATGGTCTCATAGTATATCAACAGAAACAGTTCCTTATAACATTTTAGCCGATAAAGATCTCCTACTAGGCGAAAGCTACCCAGTCCCAGCCAAGCAAAGAATGGAAATTGGTGGTGATCTCGCGAATAGATTCGAATGGAGGTATTTCGTAAGACCCAACTCTTCCAAAGGCAACAAAAATCTATCACCTAGAATTTTAACTAAAGTAGGTAAAAAGCTACGAGTAAACGGAGAAAACCTTCTAACTATGGAGTACGATCGCGAAACGGCTTCGGTATCAGTTTTTATGGATGACAAAGTCGAATTGCTGAACGTTACTTACGACAGATCGGCGAGGCCTGTCAAATTGGGACCCAGAAACGGCATATTTGCTGAAGTCGAACTCGAATATGATAGATTCAGTAGGCTGACGAGCTGGAAGTGGGGAGACTTGAGCGAGAACTATGGTTTCGATAGAGCTGGAAGATTGAATGAAATTAAATATGGGGATGGTTCGTCTCTTGTTTACGCTTTCAAGGATATGTTTAGTAGTTTGGTAAGTTTGTTTTTTGTTTAATGAATGTTATCTATTTGAAATATTATTTTTTAAAAAGTAATATTTTTGAATACCGTAAAACGGCGTTACTTGATAACACTTTTTGGAAATTGTATTCTGCTGACAAAAGATGTAATATTTTTTGACTTTCCTATCTGTATACAAATAAAGAAAGTATAGGAATCATGATTTATTGTCGACCTAGAGTTTTCGAAGGATTTTTACGTTTTAGGATCCCCTGAATCCGTTTTGAGTATTTTCGTGATATTTACGCTTGGAGAAGAAAATTCGCCAAATAAAACTTCTTATATCATTCTCTATAATTTTTGTCTTACACATGATTTACCTAAAATGGACCGTATTCAAGATATTTGATGAAAAGTGCAAAAGCGATTAAATAGAAAAAATTCAATTTTAAACTTAAACTTTAATCCGTCTTGCGGTAAGTTGATTAGATTTTGGGCAAGTTCAGAACATCTGAGGAGGGTACTTTATAGAAGCGGGGTTTCCGAATTCTGCCACAAACTTTAGGTAAAGAAAAATTGATATCCGAACTTTGCCACGGACTACAGTTTTAAAGATTAGGTTCCTAAATCATTAGAGGGTCTCTCCGATATGATTAAGATCTTATCAATGTAGGTATCCAAGACATTGCTGATATAGTTTACTATTTGTGGTACTTACATAGCGACATACATACATGAATAAAAATATTAAATAATATAAAAAAACAGCTTATTATGAAAATATTCGAATTTATTAAAAAAAAAACATTGTAAAATTAGTATAAAAAACCACAAGAATACAAAATTGCAATACACAGTTAATTGAAAATTTGAAATATAATAAAAGCTTTACAGGTAACATGAAATTAGATATTGGGAAGATTTTTAAATGGACATTTTTTTAGTTTTTTTCTGATTATTGTTAGCTGACCGCATTTTTGAGTAAATCTCTACTTGGAAATCTAAGAATATACGTGTAAAATGCATTATATTGGGGTGTGCTTTATAAAAGGAGCTATTAAAATGCGAATGAAAACTTTCACATGCGTTAGTAGTCCTCTTAAAAAAATCTGCAATATTTGCCCAAATTTGGTTGGAGTATTGATAAGTTGTTGACATATTATGTTTGTTTTAAATAATTGCGGAATTTAATTACTCTTTTATCATTTGGTAGCAAATAGTGCAATTCTTCATTAAAAAAATCTACAACTTCCTCAGAACTGAGGTACATCATACCAAAATGAAGTTTTAAATATCTACCAATCACAGAGTTTTCCTCTTTATATTCCGGAACTAAATTATTTTCTTGAATTTTCCGAAACCATGCTTGGCAGAGATGAAATTTGAAACCCAAAAGAGTAAGATCTCTCCCAAAATATTTATATATTGCGTTGTGAATGCTTAATTCAAAATCTACCACAATCTCTATTGGTTTAAAATTTAAACCAAAAACTTTACACTTATTACTTGAAAGGAGGAATACATTGTAATATGTTTCACTTGATTTATCAGGTAATAAACTAAAAACAACCGGTACATAATAACCGTTTTTAAAACTATGAATCGTAAACATTTGGTAAAAGAAATTTGTACAAAATTTGAATGTTCCGTCCATCAAAATACACTCTGACCGACACAAAAATGTTAAATTTAAATAACAGGAAAACACAATAATTTTTTTTACCTTATCTGCCTCCATTAGAAATTCTTCCCCGCGATTTGTATTCAGATGTAACTCGAGAACAGTATTGAACACCTCTTCTTGGTTTTTAGGTAATATTGGCAAGATTCTTCTTCTTGTCGCATGCATATTTTTTCTTATTTGATTGATATCTTCTGAGTTTATTTTCTCTGCAAAATTATTTGATTGCAACTCTCGAATTATTATTTTGCTGGTTTCTCAGCTGGATCACAAAAGTTTTAACACTACTGCTCACTGCATTTCTTGCAAGATTCATTGCAACACCATGATAGTGTTCTGCTTTGACCTCTATTATTACGTCTTCATTGGAAACGTGGGAGTACACTCTAGCTGTACATTTTGCGTTACAGCATTTCCATCGAATCTTTCCACATTTGCTATTAGCTTTGGAAAACTTAAAATTATATAACACAATTAATTTATTTCCTCTTTCACTAAACATGGTAGCCGCACTGTTATTCATTTTAACTCAACTAAGGTAGATAATAAACTGTTTAATAAAACCTTTATTAAGAAACAAGTAACCTTCTAAATATTTCCCTAAATATTAAAACCGAGCAGTAGTCAAAATATTCCAAGAATTCCATCAATTTTGTTTTGAGAAAATATATTAATAATTACTTATTTAATTTTTGTACCTCTTCTGAAAGGTGTATAGGTATGAAAAAATATTAAAATTCTTAATCCCTAATACGGATAAAACTTAATGCCCCTTAATGGTCATGGCAGAGTTCGGACTATTCACTAATCCCTAAGTTGTTAAAATACAGGTAAAATTTTAATTTGTGGCAAAATTCGGATGCGCCCTATAGAAGATCGTTCTTTTTTTAGTTTAAAGAATATCTCTGTTATTTACGATTGGACAAAAAAATTCTTCAAATAAAAGTTGTTTACGATATCATTCTCTATAATTTTTGTTCCATACATAATTTCTCTAAAATGGACCGTAATGGAATAATTTGAGAAAAAGTGTAAAATATTAACTTTTTAATATTTTTGTTGGTAAAATTTATAAATTGGCAAAACCAAATAGTTTAGTACCATTTTCTCATCTGTTTGTGAAACGATTTTATTTTTTTAATTTTTGTTTAGTAGCTATTAACGAACTTTAGTGTTATCAAAAAATACTATTTTTTTTCCTTTCGATATAAAAAATCAATTATTATTAAATGATTGACTAACAAAAATATTACATGGACAGATAGAGGATCGCGAAGAACAAAAAACAAAATTACTTCTCACCCAACCCCTCCAGCTTCCTCCCCTCTTCCTCTGCCACGCTTAAATAGTAAGAAATAAAAAAATAGCGGGGCCTTATGCCCTGTTTGCAACGATTTCAAAAACCACCCAACTTGCTTCTTGCCCCTACTTCTTCGCCCACTCCATGGGATGTCGATATATAGAATCGCTAGACTTGGGATAATGAACTTCGGTTACGATGAATTGGACTTTGGGGGGAAACAAATTTCACTCCCTCACACCTTCTACCCCTGTCCCCCTCCCTTCTATATAAAAAAGTTAAACCCTAAAGTCGCACACTTTTGGGTTCTGGAGATTTTTGATCCACCTCCTATTCTACTATTTTATTAAAAGTAATTTTCTATTTGTTAAATATATTAGCATTATCATAAATCATTGATTTAAGTTTTCTCAAAAAATATGAAGTTAATTAAAAAACAAAAACAGTAAAAAGTTTTAAAATAAAATTTTGCATAAAATGAAATGAAAATTTCAAAAATCGGCCAATGGACAAAAAAGTTCTGTACAGTTATAAGGGCGGATTACCCCAAAACCGCCAAATAATACTATGTTAAATATTCGTCTACTATTGAAATTTTTGTTTATCATATTTTGGACTTGAAGTTGGTTAGGGTTATATTTTTGATGTGAAAAATCAAAATTTTCTTATTAATTTTAAGATGATGTAAAAATGACGCCTCACATATACTCAGTCCCTTTTTTACTCATGTGATTGTCGCACTCGCCACCGGCTCGTGCGACAACATTCACATTCGTCCAAAAAGCGTAACTTTACACACTTGTTGTATAAATAACTATTTAATGCAAAATTTAAACTTTTTTATTATTTTACACAACACAACGAAGTTTAATTAAAAAAATATTTTGAAAAATTAACAATTCGAATAAATAAATTCGAAAATATTTCATAGCACTAATAATATATACTAATTGTTGTTGCAGCCTCTCAAAGTCAGTACACCAAGAGGATCAGACTATCTTCTCCAATACGATGACTCTGGAGCCCTACAATCTTTAACCACACCGAGAGGTCACATTCATACATTCTCCTTACAAACCTCACTGGGTTTCTTCAAGTACCAATACTTCTCCCCGATGAACAGACATCCTTACGAAATAATCTACAACGACAACGGACAAATCTTAGCAAAAATATTCCCACACCAATCAGGAAGAGTTTCTTACGTCTACGACGATGCTGGTAGATTAGAAACTACTCTTGCAGGAATGAGCTCCACCCACTACGTTTACCACGACCTTCTAGATCTCGTAAAGAGCGTAGAAATTGTAGAACCAAACTTCGAACTCAAACAGGAATACAAATACCACGCTGGAATACTTAAAGACGAAAAAATTAAGTTTAACAGTAAGAGTGGTTTGGATAACGCTCATTATAAATACCAATATGATGGTAATGCAAGACTTTCCACTATCGATGTTGATATTAATGGTAAAGAGCTTCCACAATTAAGGTTAAAATACAACCAGAATCTTGGTATATTAGAAGGAATTAGTGATTTAAGAGTCTATAGAAATACCTTTAATAGATCGGTGATGCAAGACACCACCAAACAATTCTTTACAATTACAGACTTTGATGATCACGGTAGAGTCAAAACAATACTGATTAATATTAAATCGTTTGATGTATTTAGACTTGAAGTAGAATATGACTCTAGAAATAGAATAAAATTGCAAAAACTTATGGTCGGAAGATCTCAATTTATGGACAGATTCTCCTACAATTCCGATGGCCATGTTCTAGAAGTTATTGGTAGCAGTAACTGGAAATACGTGTACGATGAAAATGGTAATATTATTGGAGTAATTAAAGAAAAAGAGAAGATTTCATTGGGTTATGACAGCGGCGATAGAGTTGTCCAATACGGAGATGTAGAGTTCTACAGCTACGATACTAGAGGCTTCGTAGTAAGAAGAGGAGAACAGAAATATAGATACAACTCTAAAGGACAGTTAATACATGTATTTGAACGAGATAAGTTCCAAATATGGTACTTTTACGATGATAGAGATCGACTCATTTCTTGGAACGACGATAAAGGAAATGTGACCCAATATTTATACACGAATCCCAGCACTCCGGATCTTCTAACACACGTCCATTTCCCCAAAACCGGAAGAACTTTCAGATTCTTATACGATTCTAGAAATGTAATCATCACAGTTGAAACTTCAGAACAAAGATTCTACGTAGCTTCAGATCAAAATGGTTCTCCGATAGCTCTATTCGATATTAACGGGAACCTTATCAAAGAAATCAGAAGAACTCCGTTTGGAAACATAATTTTGGATACGAATCCCGACTTCTATCTCCCAGTAGATTTCCATGGTGGAATTTTAGATCCTAATACGAAAATGGTATTCATTAACAAGAGGGTGTACGATCCAGTGGTTGGGCAATGGATGACTCCGGCTTGGGAACGACTGGCTATAAAGTTGTCAATTCCGACTGATGTGTTCATTTATAGATTCCATAATAACGATCCGATCAATTCTAAATTAACTCTGGACTACATGACTAGCTTCAATAGTTGGTTGAAGTTATATGGATATGATATTGAGAAGATGTTGGGTTCGAGATATATAAGTAGTTTAATATACAGGCCCAAGGCTCTTTTGACTGCTCCTCAACTAGCTCCCGATTTTGGAATTATGAGTGGCCTGCAATGTATAGTTGATAAGGTAAAACATTTTTTTATTATTAGGTATGCAATATTTATTATTTATTACACAATCGAATGCGGTTTTAAAGATAACAGGATCAAAAAACCGAAATTTTGGATTTAAATGATCGAATAAAAGCAAGGGACCGATAAGAGTTGCAAACATAATCGATTATTCGGTTATTTTTTATGAAAATCGATTTATCGGTTATAATTAGTCGATTATTTTCGATTAATCGAATAGTTTCTATAAATTGTTTTAGTTTTTTCAAAGGTAATAGAATACTCGATTTTAAAGGAAATACAATTAAAAATAATCAATTATTTTAAATAATTGATAATCCGATTATTGTTTTTTAGAAAAATCGATTTATCGTTTAATCAGTTTTTTAATTAATCGATTATTTTTTATATATAATATAATTATTATTTGAATAATTTGTTTTAAAGGAAATACGAAAAAAATAGATTATTTGAAAATAATCAGTTGATCGAATATAATCGATTATTTTAAATAATTGATATTTCGGTTATTTTTTAGAATTATCAATTTATCGGTTAATCGATCTTTTAATCATTGATTATTTTCGATTAATCGAAAAATTATCAAATAATTTATTTTAAAAGAAATATCAAAAAACAGATTATTTGAAAATAGTCGATTGGTCGAAAATAATCGCTTATTTAAAATAATCGATAATTCTGATTTTTTTTAATCGATTTAATTAGTCGATTATTTTTTATTAAACGATTATTTACGATTTTTCAAAGATAATAATCGATATTATAGGAAATACGAAAAAAATTGTTTAAAATTAATCGATTGATCGAAAATAATTGATTATTTAAATAATCGATAATTCTGTTTTTTTTTAAACATCAATTTGTAACTTAATCAGCTTTTTAATTAATCGATTATTTTCCATTATTCGATTATTTTCGAATTTTTTTTTAATAATTTGTTTTAAAGAAAATACACTATTTGAAAATAATCGATTGATCAAATATTACCGGTTATTTTAAATAATCGATATTTCGCTTATTTTTTTAAGTTTTATCAATTTATCGTTAATCAGCTGTCTAATTAATCGATATCTTCGATTATGCGATTATTTTTGATTTTAAGGGAAATAAGAAAAAATTAGATTATTTGATAATAATCGATTGCTCGAAAATAATCCGTTATTTGAAACTAGTCGATAATTTGGTTTTTTTTAATCGATTTATCGTTTTATCGGTTGATTTATCGTTTAATCGGTTTTTTAATTAATCGATTATTTTCGATTTTTCAAAGATTATCGAATGATCGATATTTCCAAGAAAATACGAAAAAAAAATTATTTAAAATATTCGATAATTCTGCTTTTTTTAATCAATTTAATTAGTCGATTATTTTTGATTAAACGATTATTTACGATTTTTCAAAGATAATCTAATAATCAATTTTATAGGAAATACGAAAAAATTGTTTAAAAATAATCGATTAATCGAAAATTATTGATTATTTAAAATAATCGATAATTCTGTTGTTTGTTTTTTTTTTAATCAATTTTTAGCTTAATCGGCTTTTTAATTAATCGATTATTTTCCATTATTCAATTATTTTCGATTTTTTTTAATAATTTATTTTAAAGGAAATACAAAAAATACACTATTTGAAAATAATCGATTGATCGAATATAACCGGTTATTTTAAATAATCGATATTTCACTTTTTTCGATTTTTCTAAGATAATCGAATAATCAATTTTAAAGGAAATACGAAAGAAAAAATAGATTATTTAAAAATAATCAATTGGTTGGAAATAATCGATAATTCGGTTATTTTTTTAAATCGATTTGTGTTTTAATCGGTTTTTTAATTCATTGATTATTTTCGAATAATCGATTTTTCAAAGATTATCGAATAAACGATTTCTAAGAAAATACGAAAAAAAAGTAGAATATTTAAAATATTCGATAATCAGATTTTTTTTCTAAACACCGATTTATCGGTCAATCGATTATTTTCGATTGTTCAACGATAATCGATAGTTCGAAAATACCAATTATTTAAAATAATCGATAATTCCTTTTTTCTTCTGAAAAATTGATTTTTCGCTTAATCGCCTTTTTAATTAATCGATAAATCGATTTTTCAAAGATTATCGAATAATCGATTTCCAAGAAAATACGAAAAAAGATTATTTAAAATATTCGATAATTCGAATATTTTTTCTAAACACCGATTTATCGGTTAATCGATTATTTTCAATTTTTCAACGATAATTAATTTTAATGGAAATACGAAAAAAAATTTTTTTTGAAAATAATCGATTGTTTGAAAATATCAATTATTTAAAATAATCGATATTTTCTTTTTTATTCGGAAAAATCGATTTTTCGCTTGATCGCCTTTTTAATTAATCGATTGTTTTCCATTAATCGATTATTTTCGATTTTTCAAAGGTATTTATTTTAAATTAATCGTATATAATCGGTTATTTTAAATAATCTATATTTCGATAATTATTTTAGAATTATCGATTTATCGGTTAATCGGCTTTTTAAATCTCCTTACAGTTTCCCCACTCCGTTAACCTTTCTTTAAAAATTGGCAACATTCGCGCATGTTAAACATCGGTGAATGTTACATCTCTGGTCTCTTTAATTTAAGGTTTAGTTATAAAAATATTTAGTTCAAGATAAGGTACGCCTGTTAGAGTTCTCAAGAACCCCTAATATTTATTTCTTAAAAATTCTCATTTTTAAACATTTTCGAGAGCCCCCGTAGTTCAAAATATATCATTTTTTACTGAAATTCGAATCAAACTTTTGAACGCTTAATTTCATTTAAATTATCTGGTCATTTTTGCAAATATCAATAGGACATTTTTTTTCATTTTGTAAACACTGGCTACTCCCACTCTGAACTAGACCGAGCGTAAAGTATAAAGCTGTAATCCCCGCCATTAATACCGTCGATATTTTTTTTTATCTTCACCATCTGTGAAATTTTTTTATTATCATCCTTTACCATTGTCTAAAAGGTCTTTAGCCAATAACGTTTTATTCTTCTGCGTTTCATACGATCAGTGTATAGATTATCGATCAATGTGGTTGCATGATTTTCATTCATAGTTTATGATATTTTCTGTAATTGTTTCAATCAACTAATGATGTTCTTTTTCAATATTATTAATTTGTAAATGCTCTACGCCTTTTGAGGGTTGTTACGTGCCCGGGTTCTGTCTGCATTTCTATTTGGTGGGTTTTAAAATATGGACCTTTTATTTCTTTAATTAGCTTTCCAGAGTGAATATTCCGGGCTTTTGGTATTAGTTAGTTTACTTTGGTAGTTACCAATTGACTATTATTTGATTGTAATGAATCCAATGTTCATTAACTTTTTAAAATTTCCTTTAATTTTCTAAACACCAATTTTTGATCGAATGATTGATGTTTAGAAAATTAAATGATTTTTCAAATGAGATTCATTACATCCCCTCCATACTTCGGTAAGAAAAATAAGAATAAACAACGTTTAAGCTTATTTTTCTTTTCAATTTTTCTGATGATGCAATTTTAAAAATAATTTTACATGTAAATGTCTTCATTTGTTTTCGAGCTTACATTCGGACATAATTTTCGGTAGCACTGGATTCAGACGCTACAGCATCACGGTTGCACTCCAATTGTCTCGTTTTAATCACAGAGTTGCATTGTTTAACGCTATTTTATCAACGAGGGCTTTGATTTCTTGCTAGTTTCTTTTTTCTTAAATTTTTTCTCTATTTTCTTTCGGGTATTTATTTCCTTTTACCCTCTAATTAATTACTAGTGTTTTCTCCCGTGCTACTAGTTGAATATCTTTAACTAATAATTCAACCGCGTTGTCTAATTGCTCTTTAGTTCTTAGTGGTACTGAGAGGTTAATTTTTTCATCAAGTTTCAATTTAAAGCTTTTCCAATCTGTTGGTTTAATCACTAATCTAAGAGAGGTTTCTTTTTGAATAAAATTTTCTTTCCTAGGTTTGTTTATGTTAATTAAGGTCTAAATCTCTTCATTGATGGTTGGAATGCCAAGAGTGTGGTTACTTACAAACCATGGAGTATTAAATATCGTTCGAAGTATGTAAGATTGGAACGTTTTATATTATTTTGGTATTTGTTGGTTTGCTACAACCTCATAGCTCTATACCATATGTTTAGGGCTTCAGTATGGCTTTATATAGAAGTACTTTGAATAATATTACCGCTGAGTGTGAGAGGAATGAACTAGTGGTCAGAATTCAAATTTCTTCAACAAATATTTCGAGTTATGAAGAAATCAATTAAGACTGGTATTTTTTTTTTATTTAGATGCTACAATGTCGGGTTGCCAGTAGATAAAATTTCACATTTTAGCTGTTTGGTTGCATCTAGAAACTGTTTTCCATTTGTAGTTGTTAATCTGGACCCCAGTGAGTATGTTTGGCATTGAAGTTACCTTCGACGATTAATATGTATCCAAAATTTCTCAATTCTAAGGGCATATCTTGGTGAGCAGTATACTGCACAGACAATGACCTCATATGTTTGATATGTGTGTGTTGGCATCTGATTCCAAGTCTATTTGCCTTATATTGTTTATCTTATTATTACAACTCACATTATGTTTTGTTATTTATTTTTACAGCGGTAGATTCAATCTCTTTTGTTGTATACTCCGTTTCTTAATAATATATAACTGATTCCTCTATAAAAAAATTGAAACACTTATATTTTTCTCTCTTTATTTCAGATAAACGAGAAGTTCATGGACCTCAGCTTCGTTCCGAAACCACTTCTTAAGATGGAGCCCAAAACGAAAAACCTGCTTCCTCGCGTGGCCTACAGGCGGTCAGTCTTCGGCGAAGGCGTCCTAATCTCCCGCGTGGGTTCGCGAGCCTTAGTTAGCGTAGTAGAAGGCGTAAATGGTGTAGTGCAAGACGTAGTGACTTCAGTGTTTAACAATTCATTCTTCTTAAATCTCCAATTTAGTATTCACGATCAGGACGTTTTTTATTTCGTAAAAGACAATGTACTTAAAATTCGTGATGACTTAGAAGAGCTTCGTAGACTCGGTGGAATGTTCAATGTATCGACGCATGAAATAACTGAGCACGGCTCGACGACTACTATTAAAGAATTGCGATTGCACAATCCCGATGCAGTAGTTATTATTAAATATGGCGCGGATCCTGATGTGGAAACGCACAAAATACTCAGGCACGCGCACAAACGGGCCGTAGAGAGAGCCTGGGAAATAGAAAAACAGTTGGTAGCGGCAGGCTTCCAAGGGAGGGGCGATTGGACTGAAGAAGAGAAAGAAGAATTAATTTCTCATGGAGACGTTGATGGATACGAAGGGGTAGACATCCACAGTATCCACAAATATCCTCAATTAGCTGACGATCCTGGGAACGTTGCTTTTCAGCGAGATACTAAACGTAAAAGACGGAAGAGTGGTGTCAGGAGAAGTAGGATACATAGACATTCGTGATTAAATAAAAAACAAGGTGATATTAAGTAAAAAAAAAAAAGATTGAGATCAGAAATATTTTTATGTGCCATACTCCTAATGACATCAGAAATCAAACTAGTCGTTTTACTTGCAGTCATTTACAATTTACAGAGACGTATTTTTTAAAAATAACTTTAAAAACGTGACATTAATAATGTCCACTATAAAATTTGGATCATCGGGATTTTGTACATGAATTTCTTAATTTCATTCATGAAAAATTGGTTGCATGTCCTCATACACTTAGTGGTCTATACGAAGGTTGTCTTTTCAATTTTGCGTACAGAGCTTAAATTAAAAAAAAATAAGTTATATATTTATCTCAAAATAAACGAATCTATTTACACAATTCAACATATGGCGACCATGACAGGACTGACTCTGCTGTGTTTTTTGGTACATCAAAACTATTTTAGAACAGCTTCATCTTCTCATTAAACTCGACTTATATTCCAAAAAAACCTAACAACACAGACAAATGATTAAAATCGTTAAAACCTTAATTTCCAACTCGAGCTTTTGTCTTTCCTAAACTTTCAACAGCTCATCTAGCAGTGAAGATTCCGAGAATGGGTGGAGATTAGCTGTGTACTTATTTCTAGTAACGCCAAGAGTTTTTAAAGATCTCGGTTCATACAAAGTTGCCAAAGACATTCCTGGTTTAACTTACACTGACTGTTGAAGCACTAATTGTTACATACACCTCAATAAGAAGTTCATCGTTAGCAAAACGTGTTTTCAAGACCATTACTACCTATTTTGTAATTTGGACAAGAAGGAAAGCTTTCGACAAGATCTTTTAGTGACTGGTTCGAATTAATTATTGGAAATTGTCTTCTATATCTTCCTCTTCATCTATCTTTTTAAATTGCCTCCAAAATCCGGTGTGGTAGAACTTCTGCTATTTTACATACATATTAGTTTTGTAGTGAATGTCATCAAAGTCATTCTCGATTTCTTGCTCGGTCATTGTTGAATGCAGGTGCTCTTTAAGACATTGTAAAATGGAAAATTGATCAAGAATCTCCCTTACTAATGTGTTTCTATTGCCAACTTTTCATCCAGTTTTAGTAAAAGTTTTCTCTCAAACAAAAGATAAAGCCACAAATCAGTGCAGAAAAACAATCTAAAAGAAAGACTGAAGAAAAGAAAACCAAAGAATATCCGACAAACATGTTAAAGAAAATTTACAACTGGGAAAGGAAAATATAGAAAAAGATGAGAAAAAGCAAGTTTTAATCAGGGACCCGGACCGAAAACCGTACCGGAACCAAAATGTTTTAGATGGACCGGAACCGAACCGATAATATATTAAAAATATTTTTTATGGACCGGACCGTACCGATCCGAAATAAAAATGAATTTTTTCGTTTTTTTCGGTTTATTTTTCGGTTCTTGTGTCTTTTTCATATGCTTTTTTGTTGGCTGGAATATCTGATTCACGTGACCAGTAAGACTCACTGAATCACTGAACACTGAACCCCATAGTTTTTATGACTGAAAGTAGCTGAATAATAAAACCACACACCACACCACACATCGGAAAAAGACAAATAAAGTGAAAATAGGTAACGTCAATATTAATTCAGCTACTACAAACTACAATTAATAGACTTAGGCTAGTAGGACATTGTACCACCTCGGAACACCTTCACCGGATAGGAGTGTATAACTCCCCTAATTGTGAGTGCGGACAAGTAGAGAGGCAGACGCGTGAAAACGCAACTTGTTCCAAAAAAATTTTTTAAATGGGATACCCTGTATATTTTTACATTTTTATAATCCTCTCGATGAGTTGATTTCAACGATGTATCATACTTGATGTCTAATCTGGATAATAAAGGATCTACAGCCACATGAAAAATCACATTTTTGGAAATTGGAAATCTCATCTGACTTTTGAGTAAAAAAAAATGTGATTTTTCAGGTGGCTGTAGATGTTTATTATCCAGATTAGACATCAAGTGTGATCCATCGTTGAAATCAGCTCGTTGAGAGGATTATAAAAATGTAAAAATATACAAGGTATCCCCGAAAATCTGCACGCTACTGTACATTTGATAGAATTTTAACAAACAAGTATTACAAATTAAAAATTTAAAAAAAACCGACTTCAAAAACGTGCAGATGCCACATCTTAACTCTATTCAGTAGTAAAATAATATTTAATCTTTTTCCAATGGTATATAATTAATTCCATAAGTGGTATCCCATTGTATATTGTACAAATATATTTTAAATTTCCTCTTTGTCTCTATATGCAAAACTAAAAAGACATCCCTCGTAAAAATATGATATAGTGCGGGCACTTTCGTAACGAATACTAAGACTAAAATTGTACGTGTACCAATAACTATTCCGTGTTCCAAATTTTTGTGAAAAAAATGTAAAAATTTAGAGTCTGTCCAGTTAAATTTTTTTAGAAATTGTGTTGTGTAAAAGCAATCAAAAAAGGCCTATATGTTAAACGAACCGATGCGTTTTTTTCCTACAGGGTAGATCAGTTTACTCTAGAGGATTTAAAAAAGATACTACAAGACTCTCTCAAATATAGTTTAATATATTTAAGGTAAAAGAAAACCTGTAAATATATCAGAAGCTTTTTATATGAGAAATAATAGTTAATTGCTATGACAAGTATTGATTAGATTTTTATGCTGCAGATTCTTATGAGCGTTTTCGATAAAGACAATTTCGTTAGTAAACATAAGTATTTAGGTTTTCCGACATTTTTATATTGAATAACATTGAAATTTAAAGCAACGCTGACATTAGTAGATGAGTTGTAAGGACACTATATTTTTTGTAACATAACCTTAAAAACAACATGTCAGTCGAGTTTTCATATTCAATGGTTGGAGGGATGTTGAAGAAACCTCTGAAGATTCGAAAATAAAGAAGATAATTCGTAGAAGTGACGTTAGACCAGAGGCTTCTTCAACGTCTTTCCTGGTCCTACACGTCACTCCCCCAAGTTGTATTCGAGTTTCCAGGGGTTTGTTTAACGTTTTCTCTGATCCTATGTCACTCCTTCTTCAGTTTCGAGTGCCAAGAGGCTTTTTTAATGTCCCTTCAACCGTGGAATACGATAACTCGATGGAAATGTCTTTTTTTGAGGTTATATTACAAAAAATATCTACTATTTGAAATAAAATTAATAAAGGTTATTTATGGGTACCGACGAATTTGTCTTGAATAAAAACATTAAGAAAATGTAGCACTCGACTGATATATTTATCCATTTCACAATGATTATAGGTACATATTATGAAGCATAGTCCATAGATGTATATATTAATTTATGATTGATTTTTTTCTAATTCTATTGGTGCTTATTATATCTCATCCACACGAATCCATGACATGTTAGATTTCTCTATAAATAGCCCGCAAATATTCCATAGTACGGGCAATATTATCATTAGAATAGCGTACTCTGAGCAGGAGCAAATTAAATATCTATATTTTTTTTTTTTTTTCAAATTTATGGAGGGCTGTAGTCTCTATGAATTCGCTCCTTAGGACTTTTTGTACTTATTGCCTAATAGGAACTTTTAAACTCGAATTGTATTTTGACCGAAACACATTTTTTCCGAAAACTTCATAAAAAAATGTGAAGCAAATGTATTTTAAATAAATCACACAGTTGTCTCTGACAAAGAAGTACAAACGAACTAATGTCCTGGTAAAGTGACAGTTAATCTTATCCTCATGTTAGAACAACACTTTTGTTCTTTCATTATGGTTATCTTTAGGAATGTGTTACATAAACTACTAATTAGAGATGTTGGGCGCCAAATGTGTAACAAGTTTGACTCAATTTAAAAACAATTCTATTGATGTATACGATTTAAGTTACTGTGTTTTGTTTGACGTGTTTACGGACCAAAATCTACTTTAAGTTACATCAAAATATTAAAATAAAATTCACAGATAAATTAAATAAAAATCGTAAATTTTCTAAAAACTTAGAAAACTGAACTCTGTTTTAGTAAGTCTCTGTTACCTCAAAATTACCATGCTCTAACTGTCAGATAGTAAACATCAACTATATTTGCCTATTTAGATTTAAACTTCTGTCTAAAAAATCTAAAATAAGCTATTAACCTCAAAACTTCTTCTATTTTTGTTGAAATCTGAACTAAACTCAAAAAACCAACAGTGTGATGTTGTACAGTCACTTGTTAAAGTATCAGAGGGTTAAAATTGGTATTGATAATAGGAAAGTACATGTAAAATGAAGTTAAAATGTATATTACCAGGAGATTAATAATTTGACCTTTAAAAGCTTGAAATTAATCTCAACGATCCAACATTTGAAGGGATATACAGTGTGTCCAAAAAATAAAAAAAAATGACATATTCCAAATGTTAAATTATCTTCTATTTTCGAGTTACCCATCGAACTTTATTATTTATCATGGCGGCCATCTTGAATGTTTACATAATATTATTACCCTCTAAATTACCTTTTAGACGAGGTGCCACACCATACACATTTTTAATAAATACTTTTAATAAAAAAGTAATATTTTCCTTAATTTGGCAACGCCGCATCCATTTAATATAGCATGTGGTACACGAATTAATTTATGAAAATATTATTTGAGGTAAATAATACTGAAAAAAACACATTCCAATTTGTTTTTTACGTGTCTTTTAGTTCAACCCCCCAATTGTTTAAATATTATTAGCATTTATCTATAGATTTTTTGGTCCTTTTAATTTGATCAAAAATATTAAATTTTATCGCAGCCTTGCCAAATCTATTTACAACTACATGCCTAAAAATTCGTTAATTATCTTTAACTAGGAAAATAAAAATTACTCATTAGTATAAAAAATATTATCAGGAAATAAACCAATGCATTTTTGTGTACCACATGTCTATTTTAGATGAATGCGATGTTGCCAAATTAAAAAAAATATATTAATTTCTTCTTAATTTAAAGGTATTTCTTAAAAATTTGGATAACATGTGGCACATTGTTTAAAATATAATTTGGGGATAAATACTATAATTTAATATCATAGATGACAGCTATAAAACTAACAAAGTTACGGTAGCTAATTCGAAAACAAAAGAGATATTTCGTAAAAACATTCTCCATTAAAAAGTGTTTCAAGACATTTTGGAATAAAAAAAAAAACATGCATTATTAATTTATTTGAACACACTATATATCTTCAGCGATACACATTGCTTTATTAACATTCATTGATTGATTGAATGTGTATAAATATAAAAAAAGTGGCTCACTGCCTTTTGATAATTTTTTTAAGAAGTTTTTCTGGAAAAACTGTAAGGTCTTAGTCTGCTATAGATGAAAATATTCAATGTGTTTAGGTACGGCTGTTGTAATGATAAAGTAACTCTTTTTCTACAAAACTTTTGTACTCTATGAATAATACTCCGCCTATTTTGTATTTTGTTTATTTGGAACGAGTTTTGGACGTTCTTGAATAATTGAATAGGGCGCTAAGATTTAGCCAAAAATGTGGAAAAGTGATATTTTTTCTAATGTGACTAAAAAAGAAAGCAATACTTTGTATCTCAAATATCTTTAATTATTACTAAATTATTAAATTATGTGCAATTGTTGTGTAGCTGTTAAGTGACAGCTAGCACGCGTAATGCATTTGAACATACTGATGACCATTATTCGTAAAATATTGATACTAATATTTTATGTGTGTATATATAAATTTATTGTGTATATTGTTTTTATATGTAAATATATTATGTTTTATTCAGTAATATAATCGTTTATTAAAAACAGAAGTATTTAATGACACCGAATTTTATTTTAACCCAAAATTTCCTATGTAGAATCCGATTACAATAAGAACACCTATGAAGACTAGAGGTAAGGAGGCGAATTGGCATGCTCAAAATACGGTCCCAAAAATCACACGTCAATTGAGCTTTTATAATTAACCGCATGGGCGCTGGTACGGTTTACGTAGTTCAAAATACATGGCTTCTTATGGGAATTATACATAATTTTGTCTAAATAATAAAATTAAACTTGTTTACAGCTAAATAAAGCACAGAACATACTATTGTATTTATTTCTAAATAAGTCTTGCATGTTTTAATTGATAAATTATTTAATTTTATCTATATAAAATATAATTTTGGTATGTATGACCAAATTCGAAAAGGTTTCTTAATTGCTGAAATTTGATAAGTACAATTTTGTGGCAATTTTTTTTTGAATTGAACCAATATATTTTTAAGAGTAAAATAAAACAGAGTTAACAGATTTTTTATTGTTGTAATACAAGTATAAAGGGAGATTTGGGAATGTACATGGTATTACTTCATCCTTTAATTTCAGCTGTCCCCTTTTTATTTTGCTAACAGTACCATTAGTTAAAATAGTCTCATCAAATTTTAAAATGTCATCTTCTAAAAAGTGTAGCTCGCAAACAGAATCATAACTAGACAGTACTTTATCAGCCCTAGGAATCACAAGCTGCCATTGTTCTAAACGTTTACGATCCTATAAAAAATATTGGCAATGTCTAGTTCAATAAAGAAAAATAACAGTAGTAACTCTTCATCTAACATCAAAAAACATAAAAAAAGCAAAGTTAAATTTAATGTGTAATTATTGTTGTTTGTAAGTCAGGATTTATGATGACTTTATTATTTTTTGAATTTTATAATTACATAAACTACATAAGATATTTATTTTACTTACACTATGAGCTTTAAAAAGACTTGGATTTTTATCTCCTTGTGATTTCTTTAATTTTATATGGGATTTATATCCCGTTTTGCAACCCGGCACGAATAAAATCCTGCTTTGTCGTTTTTTGTTACTTAATAGGTCTTTTCCTTTGCATCGAAAGTGTAGCACTGAGCTACACCACTTCTGAAAATGTCGTTCCATTTATACAAATTGTATGGATGGAACGATATTTTCAGAAGTGATGTATCTCAGTGCTACACTTTCGATGCAAAGGAAAAGACCTATTGTTACGAACACAAGGGGAATGACATATGACACTAGTGATAGTTTGCACTTGAATACGTGTGTGTCTATGGACTGTAAAAAAATAATTTTAATCAAATAGAAAATAGTTATAACAAAAACAAACAAGAAATATCACGTATAAAACTGATTAATCACCGATCAGAAAATTGACATTTGACATATTCCTACAGATACCCGTTGATCTCCATCGGCCAACTCGGAGAAGAGTACGTGATCTGTGGCAAGCCGAACACAAAAGAGTACGCTCTGAGTGCCAAGACGACACAATCGAGGCATACCGAGTGCACTCTGAGTACAGCGAACGCCAAACCGAACTCAGCCAAAGTATGTGATGGAGGTAGATTCAAACTATGAGAGATGTCATATGTCAACGTGAAAAAGGTATTTTTATAGCTAGTGAGGACTCACTGATGGTTTTTTCGATTCATTACGAGAAAATTCAAATTCTCCTAATAATTTTAATGCATACTGGCTTTAAAAGAATTGTTTTCACTTTGACATATGACATTTCTGCTGAAAATTTTCAGAGAATACTATTTATCTCGTTTGAAAATAGCCCACTGATACGTGTAGCTTGGCATAAAATTTTGATGTTCGCGCAACGCCTGATGCGCACCTTAGACTCTGCAAGACAACCCTGTGACTAAAGTGGTATTTGCATAGGTGGACTAGCATTTCCTGTCTCCATTGACGTAGTGACAGAAGAGGGTAGAAAAAAGAATATTCGATGGCTCATTTGCATCATAGAACAGAAGTAAAAGTTGGAAATGCTTTTGTCAGTTCTCCCACTTTATACCTCCGAGCAATTACTACTAGAGGGAGTCTTCCCCCCTTCCCCGCGCTAAATTTTGTTAGCAACATCTACTCCCCCCGAGGGGGAAAATACCTCTTCTGTAATTGGCTTATTTAATCAGCGTTGCCAAGTTTGACAGCGCCAGTTCTGAGTGTTCTGACCACATACTTTGATTTTCTGACACTTTCTGACACATGTCAATTTCTTATTTGTATTTTACGAAAAATATTATTATTTATAACGTTGTAAGGGTTGTAAATGTATATTTAAGACTTATTATCTCTAATAATATGGTGAAAACATGCTTTATGTGTAAAAGGCCTGTTGAAAATGCTTCTTTAAGATAATATCATAAGTAAGTACAGACACAACCTAATTATCAGAGGCGGTGCATTAGGCAATCACCTTTAATTTGCAATTAAATTTTCTTATTTTTTTATCGAAAAATTAAAATTAAGAGCAAGTAAACTCCAGCTAAGTTCGTCTTCATCCATCTCATAATTATTATAGTAAAGGTTAATTACTTATTATTATTTTAATATCACATCTTTGCAAAGTTTATTGTTATTTTTTTTTAGGTTTACTTTTCTTGATATGAGAAAGAAATACATGGTTCCAAAATATAGGAATTCAACCAGTGACCACCTGAATAACTTTTTATGATAATGAACATTTTTATTACAGACCTCAGGGGAGGAAAATATTAAAGAAAAATGCAATTTAGACGAAAGAAGTATAATAATCAATCCTGTCACTACTTCTACACTATATTCATCTGCTACTAAAATACTAAAACAGCAAGTAAGTAGAGAAACTTAAGTTTCTTTCAAAAAGAATGTTTAAGAAAAAAGGCATAGCCATTTTTTTGTTGACACTTTTTTTTAACTAATCTAAAAGACTAACTTTGTGTATTGTTTTAATTTTCATTTTTGTACTTAATTTGTTTTAGGTTTAAACAAAATGAACTTCTAAGATATGCATGGAATATCCCAAAAGAGCTAAGGAAGGTTTAAAAATTCTTAAGAAAACTATTCAGAGCCAAAAACATAAAATAGGCTTCCTGTCCAAAATATAAATAGGTATAAATATTTAGATATGAGTGATTTTTTATTCTATAAATAGAACATAATTTGCTTCTAAATCACTACCTAATGAACTATATTATATAGTACAAAACTAAACAAGAATATCACATTATTCATGTTTTTTTTTTAATTTCCTTAAGAGGGTTCTATACCCATCAGCTCCGTCAATTTCATACATAACCTCAAAATCCTCGTCCCTTACGTCTTCGCCATAACCCCCCCCCTTTAAAGAAATTGTTAGGCAGCCTGAAATACATTTCTGTGCATTTGTGGTTGCATAGTCTACCAATTCTCGTATAAGAACATCTAGACGTACCATTTTCGGCCGTTGATGACTAACAAAAATTAGATTTCTATATATAATCGGTTTTTATTTAATAAGTTTAACACGGTTTCTAGTTTTTTGAGCTTATTTTAATTATAATGACTTTTTATGAACACTTTATTCTATAGCCTTCACACATTCATAAATAGAAAAGCGTATAAATATATGTAGGTAAATATATTATTTGTTTTAGTTTTTATTTTGGAAATGTAAGAGATACTGTATTGAACAGTCTTCGTCCAATGATAACCTAATTATGCGGCCTCTAAACGCTCAATATATATAATCGTACAAGTTTAAGACTTGTACAACACAAAACGTGACGTAATCCAACCAATCTTTTGCTGTTTTTTTTATTTGTACTCGACCCATAATAAAAACCACTTCTTTGTCGATTTATTAAAGTCACAGTGATTATTCTCACACAATTAGATATTCCAAAGACCTGTCATACAATAGTTGTCAGTTGGAAGGGCTCATAAATCTAAGGGGATTGCGACATAGCCTTTAATCTTGGACGCTATTTCTATTTGAAATAGTAATCGCCAAGCCTGCCAATTTATAGAAAATGCATAAACGGTTTCTATAAAAATAATATTTTCATTGTGCTTGACATAAAATATTTAAATTTAATTCATTAATTTTGATTTCACGTATTGTAAATAGACTACATCGTATGTCGCAACCCTTTAGAGATTCCAAACCTTAGAACCGCGCTTTATTTGTTTGGAATGCCTAATTTACTAATAAACATGTATTTGTTATTTGATTCGCATTCGCAATGACATTGACAACCACAGACAGATCACTTAAAATTACAACGTTGCCAAGGGTGGCATTCTTTCCTTTTATTTGCACATTACAGAATAGAAAACTATTTGTTTATAAATGGGGTTTTAAACTTGGGTTTCATAATGAGCTCAAAGCCTTTTATAAAACGCCATTAGCGCCCTTGATTTTTGCTATAGGAATGTCTTTTGCTCCACTATTTAAGCAAAATCGGTACCTATTAATTTTTTCCGACTGTAAGATTTTCGGAGCTGAACTTAGGATAATTTTTTTAGAAAGTGTGTTGTTATAATTTCAGACCAAAATCGACAAGCTCGTTTCATAATTTCGCGCTCGGATTTTGTATTTATTCTGTAACACTACCTATTTTATAGCAATTTTATGCCCACCCTATTTATTTTTCTGTGAATTTTGTTTTGTTTCGTAATAGAAACAACTTTCATTAGGAATAAATTTTTTGTAGAAATGTATTTTAAAAACGGACTATTTCCAACGCTACTATGAGCTTTGTCTGTGGATTCACAAACTATCTGTAGAGACGGCAACACCGAACCTAAAAGCTCGAACTGAATTCAAAATTCGCCAAATATACACAATATTTATTGTTTTCCCACGATACACATACTAGCCACTAACGGTATATTGACTTTCGATTCAAATTTCGTCCAAACCGCGCAGTGACGTAATTCGGGATGACATTCAAGTTATTTTGACACTTTTTGATGGAATAGTGTAAAATAATTTAATAATTTATTTGTTTTTGTGTTAGTAGTGACTATATTTTCTTATATATAATAGGGAAGAACTGAATTAATATTTAAATGCCCGGGCTGCGCGGTGGAGACTTGCAAAATCCATAATGCGAAATTAAAAAATAGTGTACTGTAAGATATTTTCGAATGCCACAAAATGTGGATAAATTCTTATCATAGAAAGGACAAACTTAATTTAAACAATAATGGTTAGTAAAATGCACAAGTGTAATAGGTTTAGAGACAGTGAAAAGTTGCTAAAATATTATTTTAGCATGAAGTTGCCCTATCTACTTTGAGGAAAGTAGTAAACATAAACGCAAGAGAAGAAAACTGAATTCCACCAGGTGCATGGGGCTTTATTAAGCAAAGAAAATAGGTATTTTAAAATTTTAGCAGATAAAGCAGTAGTTTCCTGTCCCAATACAACGGTCCCTTTTCAAGAAATACTATGCAAGAGCAGGACAGGAACATATATAAGAATAAGATACATGAATAGAAAAATTGGTTTTGAATATTTTCAAAGTAAACTTGGCAAAAAAATGTTTAAATTTACCAAATAAAAAATTATTTTTTGTGTACTTGCTTTTTATTTGTTTGTTTCTGCATACTAAGAAAATAAATGTAAAAGTAACTACCACTCCCAGAAAGTACAAATTTCAGTCAAACTTATATTTTTAGTCCATATTTTTTATTTATCTTATCCAGGTTATGGATTTTGTCACAAAATACGTAGAATTTATGAAAAAAATTAATAT